TGTCTCACGCTTTGTTTACAAGTGACAATACACCTCTTCCAGCGGCTCACACAAAACCTTCCCTGCCCTGCATATCTCTATGACCGTATAGGAGGGGCGGGGATATATTGTTTTGGTTGTAAACAAGCCTGTCAGGTATGCACTCCAGAACCCTGCACTTTGCACATAGCACACTCCTGAATTCTACACTCTGTATGTACACTTCTGAACTCTACATAGCACACTCTCCTGAACCCTGCACTGTACATAGCACACTCTGAACTGCACTCTGTACATAGCACACTCTCCTGAACCCTGCACTCTGTACATAGCACACTCTCCTGAACCCTGCACTCTGCACATAGCACACTCCTGAATTCTACACTCTGTATGTAACGCACTTCTGAACTCTACATAGCACACTCGCCTGAACCCTGCACCTGTACAACCCTCCGCTGTACTCTGTACATAGCACACTCTCCTGAACCCTGCACTCTGTACATAGCACACTCCGAATCCCTGTACTCTGTACATAGCACACTCCTAAACCGTGTACATAGTGCACTCCTGAACCCTGCCCCCCTATATGTAGAGCACTCCTGGACTCTGCACTCCATACATAGCGCACACTCCTAAATCCTGCACCTTGTATATAGCACACTCCCCTGAATCCTGTACATAATGCACTCCAGAACCCTGCACTCTGTACGTAGCACACTCCTGAACTCTGTACATAACACACCCATGGATCCTTCAGTCTGTACATAGCACACACACCTGAACCCTTTGAGACCCTCCCACTGTTAATGCAGTTTGGCCACACCCATCACTTGATGCAGCATGCACAACGTACCACAGTACTACTCTTCTGAGGGGGTCCTTCGTGTCAGTGACTACAATAAAAGCCCCCAACACTAGTGTCATCACTATTAACCCCCCCCCCCCCCCCCCCCCCCCCCCCCCCCCCCCCCCATGAGCACACATTGGCAGTCACAGGCAGTGAACTTTAACTCCCCATTACCTGCATTGGTGTACAGCAGCAGTGAAACCCCCCTCCCCCAATGCATTGGTAGGCAAGACAGAGAAAGTTAACTCCCCATCTTTCCCCTGTATTGGAGGTCATGGCAGAAAAAGTTAATGCCCTACCCCCCTTTCCTGCATTGGTGGGCATCAGGGTTATAGAGTCCACAAACTATGGTTTATATAGGAAATTTAAAAACCCAGAAGTTTTCACTGCCTATCACAATTTTAAGGCCATAAAATGCCAGGACAGTAAAAACACTCCCGAAATTTTGGAAAGTAGACATCCCTAGGAATCTTTTCAAGATGTTTTTGCCACATTGTTTGTAAATTGAAATTGTTTTTGTTTTCACAGAGTTGGGATGGCATTCAAACTGAACGGCACTGTGATATGAGTTGTGGAAAAGTGTTTTGTTTTGTCTGGAAAGTTCATACAGTATTATTGTTGCATGCAATCATGTATCAGTAGAGGGCGCTACCTACGCACCATGTCAGTTTTATAAACTTAATAAGCAAAATCCATATTATATACTTGTGTAGGTTTGTATATATTATGTTTTGATTATGTTTATTCAAAATGGGATTGTGTAAAAAAAACAAAACAAAATATGGGATTGTGTGAAAAAAACAAAACAAAATAGGATGTGTGTGAAAAAAACAAAATCAAAAACAAAATGGGATTGTTTTTAAATAATGATCACAATGGAGACCTACAGACACCTTTATATCCTTCTAGTTATTCCAGTTTTTGATATGTGTACTCACAGGGGCTTCTTTTAAGTTCAGGAGGTAATTCTGTTGGTTAGAGAAAATTCATAATGACAGTTCAAATTGTTAGTAGATTTTAAAACTTGTTTAAACTAGACCTTTCATGCTGGTAAATGCAAGGCAAGTATAAGCAGCCAGGAAAGGACGCAGGCTGCTATTATGCCTTGTTCAGATTTGCTGAAAATACTGACGCTTAACAAATGCGCATACAGCGTTAATAGTTGAGTGAGGCACGCTTTTAACCACTTGCCTACCGGGCACTTTTACCATCTTCCTGCCCAGGCCAGCTTTCAGCGCTGTCGCACTTTGAATGACAATTGCATGGTCATGCAACACTGTACGCATATCAAATTTTTATCAGTTTTTTCACAGAAATAGGACTTTTTTTTATGTGGTATTTAACCACTTGCCCTCCAGAGAATTTACCCCCCTTCCTGACCAGTCCATTTTTTGCAATATGAAGCTGCGTTACTTTAACTGACAATTACGCATTCATGCAACACTGTACATAAATTAAATTTATGTCCTTTTTTTCCCCACAAATAGAGCTTTTTTTCGGTGGTATTTGATCACCTCTGCATTCTTTTATATTTTGCGCTATAAACAAAAAGGCCGACAATTTCGAAAAAAAGAAGCTGGGTAGAAAATGCCGGCGGGAGATGCTGAACTGTTGAGGGATAGGCAATTATTTTTGCTTTACGTATACCTGTTACTTACCCTTGCACAGATTCACTTAAAACAAAACATTGTCACCTTGTCTGTACAGGACAAAGTGTTGTCTAGGAAGGGCCACCTGCCCCCCCTTACCTGCAACTCCTTGCTTCTCCACATTCAACATTAAACTCAGCTGTCTTGGCAATACAAGCAGTGACATCACTTAAAATGGAATTCCTCCCTAACACAAATTCTCCCTAAAATGTCCCATCCTGCTAACTATGTGATTACCCTGTATAAAGATCTGTGTACTTACCTTCTTTTAGTCCACTCTGGTGCAGTCACATGATCCCACAGTTCTGGTTCGCCTGTGTAAGGGAATGCTCAACAATGCCTCCGAATTCTGGGAGCCATGTCGTCACCTATAGGCTCCCATAGCCTAATCATTGTCAGCACTCCCCCTATCCTCTACAGCCACTGTTCAAATGATACAGGTGAGCCAGAGCTGTGAGATGATGTGACCAGACTTTTTCATTTATATAGCAAAAAAAATAAAAATCCCAGTGGTGAATAAATACCACCAAAATAAAGTTTTATCTGTCTCAAAAAAATGCAAAAAAATTAATATGGGTACAGTGTTGCATGACATTTTGAGAGTGAACTAAAAGAAGGTAAATATACACATCTTTTTTGTACACAGGGTAGGGAGGAGTTGTAGCAGGAGGGTGAGGGAGGGGAACATTTTTAACCCCTTGGTGGCGGCGCCTCCTGGCCCTTTAAGGGTTCCAGAAGCTGGGGGGCGGGGTTTAGGGTCATGTGACCGCCGTGACACTCCGTCACATGATTGGGAAAGCTCCCAATCAAAAGAGGAGATTGGGACCTTTCTGCGAGTACTGGACATGTGTGCTGGGAGCGTGCATATGTTCTTTTTTAATATAAAGCAAATGTACGGCCGCTCGGCCTCTAGGCCCAGACGCCAGGAGTCCGCACATTTGCGTTCGGCCAGCGTGAAGAGGTTAAGCATAGTTCGTGTTGAGCAGCAGTTCCACTTTAACTTCCCTAATCATGTGACTCAGGCTAGAAATTAGATGCAGTGCCTGGCCACAGATCATGTGGTTTCCCATACGTAGAAGTACTGGGCACTTTCTACAACTGTAGAGGAGCAAAGGAGCTCAGGGAAATTTTAGGGGGGTTGGAGGGTGCTTTTTGCAGAGATTTTGTCAATGTAGCCTGCAAGAACAAGTTAACAGTAACCTAAGATTTGTGCACTAGAGCACCTTAATGTTTTTATTACTAAGCTTTCTAGTGATGTGTTGCCCTTTACTGACTGGGAGGACTAAGACTTAAAAATTCTTTTTGAGGTGCCATGGTCATTGGGAGATACAGCAGGGTTGACCCATCAAGATAGAGCCAGGCCACACAGATAAGCATGAATAGGGAATTGTGCCGTCACTTATTAACCATTTCCATACAGGGCACTTTTACCCCCTTCCTGCCCAGGCCATTTTTCAGGTCTCAGCGGTCTCACATTTTGAATGACAATTGCGCGGTCATACAACATTGTACCCAAAACTAAAATTTTATAATTTCTTCACACAACTAGAGCTTTCTTTTGCTGGTATTTAATCACCACTGGGGTTTTTATTTTTTGGTAAATTACAAAAAAAGACTGAACATTTAGAAGAAAAAAAAAAAAACAAGTTTCTTTGTTTCTGTTATAAAAGTTTGCAAATAAATAATTGTTTTTCATAAATTTAGGCCAAGATTTATTCTGCTACATGTCTTTGGTGAAAATAACCCAAATTAGGATGTATTTTTTAGTTTGTAGGAAAGTTATAGAGTTCACAAACTATGGGATATATCTGAAAATTGATGAATCCTGAAGTACTGACGGCCAATCTAATTTCTTGAGGTCCAAGAATGTCAGAACAGTACAGATATCCCCAAATGACCCCTTTTTGCAAAGTAGACAGTCCCAACGTACTTCATAAGAGGCATGGCGAGTTTTTTGAAGTTGTATTTTTTTTGTCAATTTTTTGGAAAATGAAAAAATTAAAAAATTTTCATTTTTTTTTTTTATATACTGTCACCAGTGCAGTACAGTGTCATCATATTACTGGCATGGCGGTGATCAGGGACACTGACTGGTGAAAAAAAATAAAAAATAATTTAAAAAAATATTTTTATTGTTTTTAATTTTTTGTTAAATTTTTTTTCTTTTTTTAAGATTTTTTTTTTTTCATATTTCACTATGACCAAAGTAGTACAATGTTACCATAGTAACATTGTACTACTTTGGGGAAGTGATCAGTATTTTTTTTTTATTACACAATTTGCTTATAGCAAAGAATTACGTTGCTAAAGGCAAGCATTTACCTGAATGACATCAATTCATTCAGGGCTTTTTTTTTTTTTCTTTTTTTTGTGCTTAGCTGTGATTTGGCCACGGCTAATCACATGACACAGCTGGGCTGTGATTGGCCCAGCTTGTGCATGTGATCGCTGTGACCATTCACAGCTAGGCACACTATTATACAATGGATGGCATGAATGAAGCCATCCATTGTATACAACTGTCATGTGACCTGCTGTGATTGGTCACAGCAGGTCACATGGTACTGGCAACGGGGCCGGAACTCAGATCTGTCATCGGCTGTGTCTGAGGTACATGGCCGGTGACAGATCGTGCAGCTGCGTGGCTCTGCAGGCGCGCAAACTGCGCATGCCCAGGAGGACACCATATGGCGTCACCCGGAATGCTGAGGAATTTTGCCGGCCGCCATCTGGCCATAGGCCGGGCGGGTAAAGGTTAAGATTCCTTTCCTGGGTCTGTGAAGTGAAGAGTCTTAACCCTGGGATGACATGCAAGTGGACAACGGTAACACTTCTCACCTCAAAAGCTTGAAAGTATTGTAAGACAACCAGGTGTGTTCCAGCATTACCCTGGTGACATGGCAGGGGGCTGAAAAAGAAGAACATTCCCCAAGGCAACTTAAACTGACATTAAAGCGGAACTACAGTACATCCGAGCACCAAAAATGCTTTTTAATGTATTTTCAATATTCAAAACAAACTCACCCATCTATCCATGTCTTCATGCTTTATTTTGCTGAGAAATCACCTTGAAAATTACACCAGTGCATTTCTGACAGTGGCCATCTTTTGTAAGGGCAGATGATTTATGCATTATTTACTTCCTGGAATCCATCTGCCCTTAGCAAAGGCAGGAAGGCATGCTTAACTAAGAAAGCCCCTCCTCCCATCCTGAAGAGTCCTGGGATGTCTGGCATCACTTGCCTAGGCATGGAAACCAGGAAGTAATCGAAAAATAAGTTAAAAACAAGTAAATATTATCTACCTTCCTGTTTACTAATGCTGGCAGCACAAGGGTTCAGAATAGTCAGTGTTGATTGAGGGAGTTAAGTTCTGCTTTAAACCCCAAAACAAAAATGTAATAATAAAGTGCAGCTTATCAATCCTGCAATATGGTGGCTGCATTTTTCTTTTCACCTGGTGATCCTGACAGTAACACACTTCCTGTCTTAGGGTGTGTGCAGTCTGGATGAAGTCATAAAGCAGACACCTTGGGACAGCAGCATTGTCAGTCTGCTGAGAGAGCAGTGTTAGACTCGTAGATTTTGGATTTGAATAATACTGTAAATTTAAGTTGAACTCCAGCTAACATTTTATAAGCAGTTACAGCAAGCAGCTTTTGTCCTTTTGGGATAAAGGTTTTACCTAAACAAATAAACGTTGACCATTGAAAGCACCCGTTGGTGGTAAATGGTTTGTCTTAATTGCTTTATCTGTTAACCACTTCAAGTCCGGACACTTTCACCCCCTTCCTGTCCAGACCAATTTTCAGTGCTATCACTTTGAATGACAATTGTGCGGTCATGCAACACTGTACCTATATGAATTTTTTTGCATTTTTTTTGAGACAGATAAAACTTTATTTTTGTGGTATTTATTCACCACTGGGATTTTTATTTTTTTTGCTATATAAATGAAAAAGTCCAAACTTTTTGAAAATAAAAATGTTTTATACAATTTTGCAAATAAATAATCTTTCTTCATAAATCTTGACCAAAATGTATTCATCTATCTTTTTAGTAGAAAAATATAATAACCCAAATTAGTTTATAACCAAAAATTATAATTTTTCAAAAGTTTGACAATTTATTTTTTTAGATTTTATTTTTTTTTTAAAAACATACTTTCACCCTTGCAGTACAGTGTCACCATAGTGACACTGTACTACTTGTGGAGGGTGATGATTTTTTATTTTTTTTACACCGATTGCTTAATTTATCCTTCACTCTGGCTGCATTCTTGCAGCCATTGAAAAATACTGTGTGAGCTGTGATTGGTCACATGGTACAAGGCTGTTGTGAATAGCCTTGTACCATGTGACCTCTGTGATCATTCACAGATTTCACTATAGTAAGCAATGATGTCAGAAGTGACATCTTGCTTACTACTATTCATGTGATCACTGATTGGCCAATCAGTGATCACATGATCAGAACCTCACACAGAGGTCCCATGCAGAGATCGATGTTCCGCTGTGTCGTCCAGACACAGTGGGCACCAGATTGCAGTGCTGCGTGCTCTTGGGGAGCGCGCACAGGCAGGGAAGGGGGGGAGGATGTTTGTAAACGGCCAGCCACGCCTGCAATGCTCCCGTCCAGACCTTTATATACATGGGCTGGACGGGAAATAGTTAAAGGAAATTAAAAAAATAACACCGGCCGCATCACCAGATGAAGATAAAGGCAAACAGCCTAAAATAAACTAACAGCCACCACATCTAGGAATTTAGGAGCTGCAGTTTAAAACTTCAAGGGCAATGTTCTATGGGAAGGCAGAGTTTAGGGATTAGCAGAAGAGGGATCAAGTAGGTAGAGGTTTATAACTGTATATCTGTGCATAATTGTGATCTATGTTAAAGGGGTGGACCAGATTTCAGGTTGTATAATCTTCCCATTCAGCAGAAATCACATCACCATATGCCCAGATATATCCCCAGAGCTGTAAAGAGCACAAAGTAGCACTTTCCACAAGGAAAGTTTTTAACAAAAAACTAAAAAGGTAAACCAGCTCTTGGCCATTTTCCAGCAACCCTCTGCACATAGTGGCCATGATGCCTTATGCTGCCGCTGTACAGGTCCAAAGCCATCAAAATGTGCTTGCATTGGCAAGCGCTCATTGATCTTCATGTCCACATGACCAATGAGCAGCCCTTCTTTCTCCTGGGACACTATTAGAAGAACCTCAGAATCTCTTGTCATTGGTCAGCATGCTCCCGTGGCTGTGCTGACCAATGAGTACTTGCCATCGCCTGCATTATGATGGTATTCACTCCTGGGCTGCGTACTGCAGTAGTGTACAGACGACTACACTGGCAGCACAGGGAATCACAGTCACTACGTACAGCAGCGTCCGGAGGAGTGGCCAAGATTTTTGAAGTTAGTTCATCTTTTTGTTTTTGTGAAGAGGTGAACTTACCGTATAAGTCCTTCTAATACTCTGTTTATCCTAAAAGAGCTATTAATGAGAGGGTATTAAAAATAGGTCATGTCTCTAGCAGTCTAACATCCCCTGCAGTGTTTCATTCAAGAATACTGCTCAGGGACTGCAGAGTGTTTCATTCAGGAATACTGCGCAGGGACCACACATGAAATAATTTGCAAGAGGTTTGTCAAACCACAACACTCTCTAGGAGAGCAGCGGTTTGGTCTCTACCATGCGGCTAGCATAGAACACAACTTACTGTCTTGTCTAAACTACACCTACCTGCCTGATCACAGTGATCCCTGGAATGTAAGCTGAGCTGTATATGTGCAGCTCAGCTTACAGCAGCTGTCCTGATATTGTGAATCGGGGTGACTAGCTCCTGCACATGCACAAGAGTGACGCCATCCCACACCGGCCATTGAAGATACAGTAGACAGTAAAATATGCCAATGCTGGAGAGACCATTGGGAGTATCTCTGCCTTCAGTTCCGCTCCATGATAAATATCTTTTAAAATGCCATATTTAAAAGACTTGCACTGGGCTTTAACCATGTTGCAACCACCTTGTCCTATTTGATGTCCTGTGGACCAAAAACCTTTTTTTTATTAACATTTATACCCAGTGTTATTTATTCTTTTCTATCACATTCAACTATCCTGCAAACACACATTAATTTTGATAGTAATAAAAAGTTAAAAAAATTTTTTTTAAAAGAAAATAAATGTGCCCCTAAACGATTGAAGATTACGTCTATAGCGTAGTGAAAACGAACACAAACTTTGTGATGTGTGTAAAATACAAAAGAAATTTTAATTTTTTTCTCCCTTTGCGTTGTGTGGATGATTAGATAACAAGAACATCAGTTGTTACAGAACTGAAGTCCTTTACAACTCTATAGTTCTCTGATAATTCAGATAAGATGTGGTGTTCACAGCCTGATAAGTTCTGCATTCTCTGAATTTGGCCTGCTGTTTACAAGTAAACCAAACATAAAAGGGTGCATTTACCCCACACTGCTGTCATTTTTGTTAAGACAGACTGTAAAGCAGCTGCAACGTTTTATCATCCGTTCCTCTTTGTGAGGTCCATTGATAAAACCTATGAGGGAGTGACTATGTGAAGATAAATTGTCTGTATGCTGTACAAGGCAAGCCAACCCAGAGTTCTGCATCTAACTTGAAAATGCTCTATAAGCATGGTTCTACAAAATTATATGATCAATTGAAGGTATACATTGCACAGTAGCTAAGTGGTTAGCACTTCTGCCTGGCAGTACTAGGTTCCTTGGTTCGAATCTCAACCATGACACCACCTGCCTGGAGTTTGCATGTCCTGTGCCTGCGTGGGTTTCCTCCGGGTCCGGTTTCCTCCCACTTGCCAAAGACATGCTGGTAGGTAAACTGGCTCCTGTCTAAATTGGCCCTAATATGTGTATGTATGAATGTGAGTTAGGGACCTTAGACTGTACACCCCTTAAGGGTTAGGGACTGATGTGAATGTACAATATATATGTAAAGTGCAGCGTAAATTGACGGCGCTATATAAGTACCTGAAATAAATACATTGGGGTTGATCTACTAAAATTGGAGAGTGCAAAATCTGGCACAGCTGTGCACAGAAACCAATCAACTTCCAGGTTTTACCCCCCGGTCACATCAAGCCCGACTTCGAAATCGTGTAATTTACAGTGAAGTCACACAATTTCGAAGTCAGACGAGATTATTATTATACAGTATTTATATAGCGCTAAAGCGCTGTACTTTATAGTGGGGGACAGAACATGAGACAATACAGTAACAAAACAAAACACGAGGGGGTCAAGGGCCCTGCTCTTTCGAGCTTACAATCTAGGAGAGATTTCAGGTGCGATTTGCAAGACACCTGATGCAGATGTCTATGCAAATCGCACCAAAAGTAGTACATGTACTACTATAGAAATCATTGCGGCTCCGACCAAGTCAGAACCGCACCGCTTTGACCGCTCTAATTGCGAACAGCAGGGTGCTACTTGGCAAAGGATTTGGAAATCGCATGCCAAGTCGCACCCGATGTGATCGGGGTGTTATTGTCAAAGCATAATTGAAGAAGCTGATTGGCTACCATGTACAGCTGCATCAGATTTTGCACTCTTCAGTTTTAGTAAATCTCCAGTATGTTCAAGCATTGAATCTTAAATAAAAAAAAACATGTCATGTACATAAAATAAAAAAAACATGTCATGTACACAAATTCTATTTTATTTCATATGCCTTTATATTTATTTTCAGTTACATTCTGCAAAAAATAGCAATGAATATCCTAAATAAGAGAGAGGGCTAGCAGATGGCTAATCAATCTTTTGGGGCTCTCTTGCTATAATTGGACTGGTTGTCTAATTACATTGCTCTACTAGCCCTACCTGTCCTGGTTTCTGTATCGTACACAAAGGAGGGACTGCAGCTTTGAATCAGCACTATAAAAGTTGGAAAAACAGCTCTGTATTTAGGACCATGTTACTGGCTACCACAGGGCTGCTAAAGGGAGCATTCACCTCTGAAATATGGCATCACTCGTTCACTTGGCAAAAGTGCAGAATCTCTCCAGCTGAGGAGTAAGGATAGGGCACCTTACCACTTTGCACACTGCTGTACTGGGCTCCACTCACACAGCCATGTAAATCAGTCACAGGGATCTGTGTATGAATAAACTATGTAACAGATGACTTGTAGTTCTCAATGGACTGCAAGTGCGCTAATCAGTGCCCTCGTAGAAGTCCTACAGCATAGAGGTACAAACAGAAATCTGGAGGACTTGTCTGCAAGAAGCTGACATTGCAGCTGAAATCCACTGGTCATGGGTGCAATGCTTTGCAGGCTCCTGGGGGGGAAAAAAATAATAAATGCACTATTTTTAACTTGCAAAAATCTATGCATTTATTATTTTTTCCCTTAGGGTGAATTTAGCTTTTAACTATAGATCCAACATGGAGGAGAATCTACAAGTCACTCTGGTTCAAGAGCACATATAGCGAAGACCCTATTGACATAGTTTGACTGAGGAACAGCCCACTCATACTATTTTTTGCTCACTCTTGTAAAGTTAAACACTTCAAAAAGGTGGTCACTGCCCAAGTCTATAACTGGCTTTTATAACAAGGAACATGGACAAGCATCGCATTTCAAAAAAAAAGGAAAGAAAATACCCATTTCAACTTGCCAGCCAGCTAGCCGACAACCAAATTAACCTAACAATGTGCGTTTATAAAAACAGGGGTTTAGTTAGCACACATTTGCAAATACATAGGTGAGCCACGTCACCCCAATATTCTGTGGTCCTAACTACAAATTTTGAGAGCCCTCATAGTAGAGGCACATGCATGGATGGATAGATCAAGGGCAGATGAACCTGAGGGAGCCCACCCCTTCTTAAAGGCACATGAGCGCACTGGACACCCAGCACATAGCACAATGGCGGCCAGGGTGTCCAGTGCACCCCCTCACCAACAAAGCAACAATACAAAAAGGTGGTCACTGCCCCAGTCTATAACTGGCTTTTATAATAAGGTACATGGACAGGCATCACATATCAAAAAAAGTTCAACTTGCCATCCAGCTAGCCAACAACCAAATTAACCTGTCTAACAATGTTAAACACTTGCCTACTGGGCACTTTTACCCCCTGCCTGCCCAGGCTAATTTTGAGCTTCCAGTGTTGTCGCACTTTGAATGACAATTGCGCGGTCATGCAACGCTGTACCCATATAAAATGGGTATCATTTTCTTCACACAAATAGAGCTTTCTTTTGGTGGTATTTACACACTACTGGTTTTATTATTTTTTGCACTATAAACATTTTCTTTGCATGGCTTCATTTGTGTGAGATACCTGGTGATCCTGCCAGTCCTCCTGCTTTCCTATTTCAAACTGACCATGCTAGGCATGAGAATACATCCATCCAAGCGGGGTCAGTTCTCTGGCTGTGCTGGGAGCTCAGCCTACTTGTCTTCCAATGGCCAAGACTTGTGCTGACACACACCCCTGAACAGAATTTCACTGGGAAAATCAATGTTTTCTCCTTGCCTCCTGCGATCAACTGCCTGCAGTCTCCACTCCCAGCTCAATCAGTTCCTTATGCAGCGGCTAACAGAGGTCATGTGATCACTTTAGAAGAAAAAAAAAAAAAAAAAAACTGACCTGACAAATTTTCGAAAAGGCTTGGTCTGAGCAAAACCTTGCACTGGGCTATTCTCCAAAATTAGAATGGAATTAAAAGACATGAAGTGAATAGGAGACACCAGCTACAAAATAAAACTTTAATCTGTGCAGGTCAGCAAAGTGGATGTTACACCAATTTGTAGGATACAATATGCTCAATGTTGAGCTCAGTCCGTATTTTGTTTTTTTTGTTTATCCGTACGTTTTCTCTTTTTGTTTATCTGTACTTTTCCTGCTTCTTCTGCGTCATCGTTTTCATCTTTGTCCTCAGGGACTTTCCTTCTCTTTTTGGGACATTCATCCTTCTCTGAAAATCAAATATTTATAGCAAATTTAAACAAAAGCAGAATATTTTACAGAAATAAATTCCAGCTACACGTACTGTTCATCGTCTTTCAATCTCTGGAATATAATTAAAGTGGAACCGCAGTCAAATTCTTACCAAGCCTAAATCTACTGCCACCCCCATTTTTGGACTATTCTATCTACCTTGTAAAAGATAGATGTCTATACTTACCTATTCTTAAGCCCCCCCCCGGTCCAGTCCATCCTCTACACTGAAACCTGATCATGTGATCGGACTCAGCATGGCAGACAGAGTAGTTTTAGAGTTGCAGTGGGAAGCAGATTTAAGCTTAAAGTTTGACTGGAATTACACTTTAACCTCTTGGTGCCTCTCGGCCCTATAAGAGTTTCAGAAGCCGGGCGGCGAATCATGGTGGTCACATGATCGGAAAAGGTCCCGATCGAAAGGGGAGATCGGGACCTTTCCGGGAGTAGCGGACATATGTGCTGGGAGTGCGTAGAGTGCACGCTCTCAGTACATATGTATTTTCTAATTGCACGCTAATATGCGGCCGTTCGGCATCAAGGCCCAAACGCAGAGAGGCCGCATATTTGCGTGCGATCGGCGTCAAGGGGTTAAACTTAAATGGCAACCCTGCAGTAGCTGATGCCAGCATGGACTGGTGGACAGGTGAGTTGAATGACTCTTCAAATCTTTCACCTGTGCTGTCCTGTATGTCCCGTTTACCTTTTTTTTTTACATATTTGCAGAGGCAAACATTACATCTTGTTTTAAATAGTGCCTAGAGATTAAGATGATATAATAAAATGACACATACAACTGACATGGTACATTCACTTTCATGATCTTAATTATTATTTACTTATTTATTTTAGGTACTTATATAGCGCCGTCAATTTACGCAGTGCTTTACATATATATTGTACATTCACATCAGTCCCTAACCCTCAAGGAGCGTATGATCTAAGGTCCCTAACTCACATTCATACATTTACATACTAGGGCCAATTTTTAGACAGGAGCCATTTAACCTACCAGCATGTCTTTGAAGTGTGGGAGGAAACCGGAGTACCCGGAGGAAACCCTCGCAGTCACAGGGAGAACATGCAAACTCCAGGCAGGTCGTGCTGGGGTTGGGATTCAAACCAGCGACCCTAGTACTGCCAGGCGGAAGTGTTAACCATTTAGCCACCGTGCTGCCAAAAGTGCAGATTTGTCATATGGAAAAAGTACACCCCCAGATTTACCGAAACCGGAATCCGATGTTTCAGATTGGGTGCCAATGATTAGAACCTCCTTAGGTAGTATGGAGGTAGAACCTGTCGTCTTAATTGCATAAGTCTAGGATCTGTATCACCATGCCAAGCTCAAAAGAGCTCTCCAAGGCCCAAGAAGGAAATTGTGATTGCCTATGAGTCTGGGAGGGGATTTAAAAAAAAAAAAGAAAAAATTATTTGATATCAATTATTCCATTGTACGTAAAATAATCTACAAGTGGCTTAGATTTCAGACAACTGCCAATTTATCCAGGTCTGGCCAGCCCAGCAAATTCAACACAATTGCTTGCCATTTAATGTTAAAAGAAGTCTTCAAGAACCCCACATTTTCATTGTCGTGTGTTCAGGCAACTCTTCCAAACAGATTGGGTCAAAGTGTATGCATCTACAATCCAAAAGAGATTGTACTAATTCAACTTGCATAAAAAGGTGTGTCAAGAAAAACCCTTTACTGTCCAAAAAGAACATTAAAGCAAGTTTACAGTTTACTATGGAACATACAGTGCATAGGCAAAGATGAAGCTTTATGGAACAATGTACTGAAGGCTGATTAACCAGAGTAGATAGAGTTGTTTGGTCACAGTAATAGACGTTTGCTTCAAACCAAAAGAGTATTTCAGAAGACCCTCATAATAACTGTGAAACATGGTGGTGGAAATGTTATGGCTAGGTGGTGTTTTTGCTGGCCTCAGTGCCTAGGCAGTTCGCAGTCATCAAGTCAGTCATACAGTCAGCAGCATATGATATGAAAGTGTGCTTGATGAGAATGTGAGGCCATCTGTCAAACCAGAAATAAGTCTTTCAGCTCGATAATGATCCAAAGCACAGTAGCAAATTTACCAAGGAATGGCTGAAAATAGAGAGTTTATAGACTGCTTTAGTCAAAAGTCTTCATTTGATTCCCATTGAAATTATGAAACAGTTTATTCAAGGAAACTCAAACTAAAAGAATTTTGAGTGAAATGTTTGGCCTCTTCTTCATGCAGTGTCAGTGCCAGAGACTGGCGGGCAGTTATACAAAATGCCTACAAGAAGTAATTTCTGCTACAGGGCAACACCAGTTTCTGAGGCCCAGGGTGTACTTAGTTTTTTCCACAGTATAAATCTGATATTTTTGTTGAGTAAAAGATTAAAAAGGCAAATTTTTTCATTCTCATATTCAAGTATATCATCTTTATCTGTAGACACTGTTTAAATAACGATCTAATGTTTGCTTGCTCAAATATGTTGTAAAAGTCATTAAATTCCATGTAGTATTTGCTCATTTTTCACGTTTGTACCCTCCCTTTTCTCACCCCAATGTATCATTCAGCTGCAGGGAGAAAAAAGAAGCACTCAGACACTGATTACACATCTGATTATGGGGAGCATGTGACTCACTTCCCTTTCTTCCACATGACAGTGCTGGTGCCAGATGACTAACCCGGAGCTGTCACAAGTATCCACAGGTAGTGGTAGAGGAGCACTGGACACGGGTTTTCAAAGACAGGTAAAGCCATTACAAGAGCCCAACTGGCCTGTATGTGGCAGCTCACCACAAAAACAGGGATCCCCAGAAGACAATCACCTGAGTTGAGAAATCCAAGTGTACTAGGTCAAAGAGCACCAAATGAAAAATCCTCAGGAATCCAAAGTCTTTATCCTTTAACTGGTTACAACAAGCAGGGCAAAAGACAAACAATATGTTTTGCAGTTAAAAGTTTGAGAACAAAAAAAACGGCTAAAATAAATATGCATAAAAGAAAACAAAAAAATGACATGACTATTAAAGGGATCTATTGAGGCACCTATTGTTAATGGCACCAACAAATACCGGAAGCAAACACGTTGGCTATGCGCAAAAAAACACATGACAAACGTGGCAAAATGCTCAGTAAAAACACGTAAACTGGAAAGTGGAAAAATGTTCCATGAACTACTTTGCCATGTTTGTTGCATGTTGGGAAGTCCATTGAAATGGGCTACCCTCTGTGGGTTGTGCAAAACAAAAAAAACTAAAAACAAATGTGCTTTTCAATTTGCTAAATTTGTGTATATATAAAATCTCTGATTTTCAGCATGAAATGTGGCTTTCATTTATGATCTATTACATTCTGGTTGTGAAGACATGGAGATATCCACTGTATATAATTTCACACACACGTGCACGCACACACAAGCACCAAAAAAATAAACCCGAAAGGAACACTTTTTAATCAGAATAGCATCAAGTCAATTAAACTCCTGGGATATTGATCTGGTCAGTTAAGTAGGAGAGGGGGTTGTTAATCAGTTTCAGCTGCTTTGGTGTTAATGAAATTAAAAATAGACACTGATGCAACACCTCCTGCGCTCAGGGACCCAGATCAGTAGAGGGCCGATGGACCAATATATACTAACTAGAGTATATGGAAGGTCGTCTAAGACAGATCAAATCGATACAAACTGTAGTAGGGAACAAAAACAGAGCACACCAATGTAGCAATCATGCACACAGAGATGGACGCGATCATCCATTTTGCTCCAAACCCCTCCATATTGTATCTCTCACTCCCAAATCAGTTTTCCTCATCCCCCCTCCCTCTCTGTTGAGTGACATGTGGTCTGTTTGATGACAGAGATCACAGGCAGCAAACTCATTGGGAGGGCGTCATGGCTATAAACCTCACTAGCTGGTGCCCCTCTGTCTAGGAAACTTGCTAGCGAAGGGCTCATAAAGCCATAAACCGACCCTCAGCGAGCTTCAAAAGACATTCCATGGGGTCGTAAAAACAGACTTACATTTAAAAACTCACTTTTCCATATCATTTTATATCTTCAAATAGGACATAATTACATAAACATGGAGCCCATATTAGGACGGCTCACTTTAAGTCCAGTCTCCTGGTATATTACACCCCCAATCTGACATATACAGGAGAGCAGAAAATTATATCTCCTGAACCATTCAAGCAGATATGCCATATTTCATATCTAACCATTCAGGAGATGCGTCTGCATGTTAATCTACTAGTGGCAAGGCTGCTAAATGCACCGAGAATAAGTTATGAACCATAATATAAGCTATGAGAGTTTTTGGTCATAGCTTGGGTCTTCACCTACAACTCCCTCCCCAAATGAGGTGATTGGTTTACTGCTCCAGGGAGACATCCTGTGGAGTTGCTAGAAAAAGCTAAGCTAAGTTGTGGAAGTTGAAGTTTCTCCCTTTTTAACATCGAAACTAAAGTTGGGAGATAAGGCATCCTTTTGGCTCATGAAACCTGATCTGCTTAAACCAGGACATTTGGCAAGTACTTTAACCCTCTAAACTCCTTTCCGTTATCTCTTTGCTGTGCTATTGTTTTCTGTATATTTATATATATTGGCTACATCTTTTTCTGTAAATATTTTTATTGCACCCTTTTGACCTTTTAGTAATAAATCTTACTTTCTGAAAGTGTTGAACTGTTTTAAAGCTCTTTAATTCAAACTAAAAAACCCCTGCCTCTGAAGAGCACTACTGTGTGTGTGTTTTAAACTTTGGTATAGTGCTGCCTGCCGTGACAGTGGTATACCGACGATTATTCAAACATCATAGTGTTATTGCTGATATTGCCGAGTTTCCTCTTTCTCCGTACAAAAAGGAGGTGGTGGCAGTGTGAAGGGTTAATTGCGTAATTAACCTGACCCAGTAACAATCGCGCTCAGGCTGCAGGTACATCGATTCTGGTCCATTAGCTGGAAAATCGTTGTGCAGGTTGCAGCTGGGCGTGGCATTGTTACACACGTGACAGCGCGGTTTTAGATTGGCTAGTCCTTCGGTCACGAGTTTGATGAGAAGGGCTGGGGTCTGACGCCGCGATCGTCACAACCAACCTTGCACATTACCTCAGTAAACAATTAGTGGATTTATTAATTTAAGAGATATACTCACAAAAAGTAGCAATATAACAGACATATAGAATCCAAAAACGAATCATTGGATAAGGAGACACGTGCAAATCCCATCGGAAGGGGAGACTCTCAAGGTGAAGCTGACGCGTTTCAAAGGGGGGGGTCCCTTCTTCATCAGAGCTAACCAGACTAAGATAACCCTCCTCTATATATAGTCAGTATCTATGTGTGAAACGTCCCAAATGGGCGGGGCAAACACATCATAGGAGGTGGGGCCCACGTGTCACAACAAAAATATACATATGTAGAAAACATAGAAATTTATGTAGACATAAAATTAGAACAAGAATATAAATACAATTACAGATATGACTATCAATAAAACATGCTAAAAAGATGACAAAATTTTTGTACGTATAATTGATTCAATACATCATTTGAACGTGACTATTGTTATATGTACATACTAGATAAAAAAGTATATAAAAAAGGTATACATCAAAAAGCAATGCCCATCCATAGGTACCATAAAAATTAAAATTGATTATTGCAAAAGTAATAGAATGATCTGAATATAATATTACCTTCAAGTTGTAAACAGAGTCACGGGATCACTTATATAGTGGTTTATATTGGTTTCTATTAGAACCATGTAGAAAGGACTTTTAGAAGCTCTCAGCAATGACATTTTGACTATTATATACTATTTTAGATAGGTCAGCTAATATCTGGAAGCCATTCTGGCAGAGTGTGCTGTTCCATGTGTCAGATTTACAAAATGGCAGTGGAGAGAGGAATTTAAACTGCAGTTAGTTCAGGTGGCGGTGGAACGCATGCCGGCATCTGAAACCCTTCTGCACGTGTGCGATGCATTCCAGCCGCCATTTTGACAAAAAGAACGTCACAGGAGAAGCAGTCAATTTCCGTGCATGCGCACTACTCTCTGGGTACTGTTCAACACCGCTCTTGTGAGGATCAGAAGGGTGAGAAGAGCTGCGCACAGCCTCAGTGTATTATAGAGCCGGCTCACACGGGATTGGGGAGCACAGACACAAGTCTCTGTTTGATTCCGTAAAATAAGGGCGGGAAGAAGGAAAAAAATAAATAAAATGAAAATATGATTAAAAAGGAGGGGGGGGGGGGGTACGGCCTCTACCCTGTATGGAATAAAAAAATCCATAATAGGCAAACCGAGGGAGGAAAGGGGTCATGAATTGTGATTACTCTAATGAGTGCTGGCTGTAAATTAATTAATTAATTCATAATTTAAAAGCTGAAAAAAACTGTACCCTTCTGAGTATCACAATTGTCAAAAACAGAGATAAAGAAAATAAAGAAAAAGAGAAATACTAGATATTGGAGATATTGAGGATGCTTAAGATGATGGACAACATAAATGTGAGCATCTAAAAATTGGGTAATAGAATTGCATAGGGAGTCATTCCTGTATAAGGCACCTGAAATGACAAATAAAGAATTCTCATACAGACTATACCAAGGTGTGTGTTTCCAGATCATCATTCAAACCCCTAGGGGATAGAGTGTCTAATGTAAAAATCCAAAAGTCTTTGGGTGTCTCCTGCCATTATCCAAATCTTTCGATATGTCCTCTACCCCAAAGACTCTGATTCCACAGTAGTTACTTTGGTGGACTTCTTTAAAAGTGACGAGGGACAGAATATTTATCTATGTAATTCTTAATTAAAAATACAAAAACGCTCAAGGGGCGGGAAGTACAGCCTATATAGAGTAAGCCACATGGGCTCATGAGACCATATACAACGTAGGACGTCCCACAGTTGATAAAACTGTTTAATGGCATATTTCTGGCCATCAGACCCAGTAACGTCACGTTTGCGATGCCAGGTGAACTTGCAAGTGCCACAGTTAGGAACACCACATTTATAGTTGCCTTTTTGATCAAAAAGACCAGACCATGCACCCGAAACTGATTTTGGGAGGATTATGGCCTCCCGAAGCCTACTAGGGGACTAGAATACTTCTAAGGTCTCTGGGTTTCCTAAAGCTCAAGCAAGGTTTCTCTGGGAGCGAGTCGCCCCACGGTGGGATCATTAAGGATGTTCCAATTTTTGGAGAGAATCTGATGGCCCAAGATAGTTATTAAATCTAGATCAGAACCGTATTTCCGTTAAACCACCATTACTGTCGTGGCTCTAGGATTTTGAACAGGTGGTCTGGTTTGTAGAATAATTATCGTACATAACTAAATATTTATTAAATGCTGTCTCGATGTGCGTGTTGTCATACCCTTCTCTCTGAATTTATTTTAAGAATTGAACTGTGTTCAACGTAGGCCTGTTTCAAAGTGCATGTGCATCTTAATCTACAGAATTGCCCATATGGGACATTCCTAATCCACTTTGGGTGAAAATTACTTCTTGCATGTAAGTAGGAGTTCCCAGCTGTAGGTTTAAAGTGCATTTTGGAGCAGACATGTTCACTGCTATGTTTTAATTCAAGATCTAGGAATACTATTTGGTTTTCATCTATCACATGGGTGAAAGAAATTACGTACGGGTTATTGTCACAATGATTCAAAAACCCTTGTAGCTGAAGATCAGTGGCATTCCAAATAATTATAATGTCATCTATATACCAATAATATATAAATGAGATTTTCACTATAGGGATTGTTATCCCAGATATAGTGGTTTTCCCAATAGTCCATAAATAACTATGGACTGTGTTTTGGGACATTGTCATGCTGGAACACCCATCCACGACCCATTTTCAATGCCCTGGCTGAGGGAAGAAGGTTCTCACCCAAGATTTGACGGTACATTGCCCCATCCATCGTCCCTTGGCAATGGTTAAAAACTTTCCATTAAGCTTTTAAACGAGTCAAAGGTACTGCGGTGCAGTTGTCTTGTCTCCTTAGCAGAAAAACACCCCCAAAGCAGAATGTTTCCACCACCATGTTTGACAGTTGGGATGGTGTTCTTGGGGTCATAGGTAGCATTCATCCTCCTCCAAACACGGCGAGCTGAGTTGATGCCAAAGAGCTCGACTTTGGTCTCATCTGACCAAAACACTTTCAACCAGTCCTCCTCTGCATCATTCAGATGTTCAGTGACAAACTTCAGACAGGCCTGGACATGTGCTTTCTTGAGCAGAGGGACCTTGCGGGCACTGCAGGATTTCAATCCTGGTTGGCGTAGTGTGTTTTCTTGGTGCCTGTGGTCCCAGCTGCCTGGAGATCATTGACAAGATCTTCAGGTGTAGTTCTGGGATGATTCCTCACTGTTCTCATGATCATTGACACTCCACAAGGTGAGATCTTGCATGGTGCACCAGGCCTAGGGAGACAGTTGTTTTGTGTTTCTTCCATTTGCAAATGATTGCACCAACTGTTGCACCTTCTCACCAAGCTGCTTGGCGTTAGTTTGGTAGCCCAGTCCAGCCTTGTTTAGGTCTACAATCTAGTCCCTGACATCCTTGGACAGCTCTTTGGTCTTTGTCATGGTGGAGAGTTTGGAATCTGATTGTTTGAGTGCTCCTATGGACAGGTGTCTTTTATACAGATAACAAAATTAGTTTTTAGCAGCACTCCCTTTAAGAGACTGCTTCTAATCTCAACTTGTTACCTGTATGAAAGACACCTGGTAACCAGAAATCCTGCTGAATGATGGGGGAATACTTATATCCCTTATGAACATGCAAATCAGTGCATAATTTGTTAGACATGCATGTCTTTTGAATTTTTTTGTTGCTATTCTCTCAGTGTTACAATATACCTACCATTTGATTTTTAGACTGATCATTTCTTTGTGAGTGGGCAAACATTCAAAATCAGCAGGGGATCAAATACTTAATTTCCTTTAGTGTGTGTGTGTGTGTGTATACACACACACACTCCCTGTATATATGTGTATATCTATCTATATAGTTCTGATAACCAGTTGAATTAAGACTTTGGACTTGCTCCTTCTAACAATATTACACAAAAAGTATTCAGCACTGTTTAAGAGCCAATATACGAGCGGATGCTTACACAGGGCTACTTCTCTTCATTCAGCTGCCAGGAGAAAAGTGGCAAGGGGGAGAAGAGGAGTATTAATGTTTTGTGAAATCTTCCATCCTCTGCCCCCCCCATCCCCATTGCCCACAGCTGTGATCTTCAAGTGCTGTGGAGATTAATAGAAGTAGCTTCACCTGTCACAGGTACTTGTCAAAGGTGCTCCCTGCTCCATTCACAGAAGCTGTACCATTTCTTCCCGCAATTATAAGCGCTCTATAAATGGAGGAGGCAGAGCTTTCATTTAACTGCTTGTCCTCCATTCATAGAGTGCTTTTCATTGTGGGACACAATAGTATGGCTTTTATGAATGGAGCAGTGCAGTGGGTGGAAAAGGTAGGCATAGTCAGCAATTTTGCCAAGTACCTGTGACTGGTGAAGCTGCTGATTTAATCCACATAGCACTGGAAAATCACAGCTGCAGGGGTGGGGTATCCAGGGTTTAGACGATGGGAGATTTAAAGGAACACAGCAGCCACCAACATACAGGATTACAGCACATTCATCATCCATGTATGTATCATCGCGTGGGGGATTTAAAAAAAAGAATATCTGTAAACTTAAATATATCAACAAACCCATTCTAAAAACCAACAAATATGCAGCACAATACTGACAAAGAAAGATTAATAATAATGAGACTAAAAAAAAAAAGAAAAAAAAAAAAGCTAAACCCATAAGAGAAAAGAAATCCTCACCAGCAGCGGTATGTGTGCTTGGTTTTTCTTTATTATCGACAAGTTCTGGAAGCCATACAGAAAGGCAGGTCAGTCTGGCTGATGTACTAACTTCACAAAGTAACATTGGTGCAGATTTTAACTAAAAACAAAAAGTAGGTAATTAGTCACAAATGTTTCACTGTTTAACAACATTTTTAACACTAGGAATGTAGGTTGTATGGAAATACGTTAACTATGTTTGCACAACATTTCCCAGGTTTATACTCACTACAACTGTGACTGGACAGGCATGCATTTCCATTGTTTCTCTTTTTAAAAAGGGATTTTAGCTTTCTACAGCCCATATGTGTAGGAAAATGAAGCAATCCCCACCTCTCACATCCCTCGCCTACACAATAGTACACCTCTATAGGAAGAGAAATTTGTCCTGTTTTTTGTAAAGGCAGTTGTCTTCACCAATGGCTTTTGCCAATCATAAATTTAAAAAACAGTTGTTCGTGCATTTTCAAATGTTAAGCAAGAAAGCATCGGGTTTTGAAGGGCAAGTCCAACCCAAAACATTCCAATTGAAAAAAAAAACCAAAAAAAAAAAACCCCACATTTACCACATTTATTTTATTAATGAAAGTGTCCCTATTTCAGTTCCAGACAACATCCAAGGACCAATGGCATGCTAAGGCCCTTATCCTCATTACTGAATTCCAGTCCAGAAAAATATCATCAGCAGGCTTTACCCTGCAGATCGTTTTATGGCAACTCATAAAAAGAGGACATTGTATAGCACAGGCTTCATTTCCCCGACACAAAAAAAAAAAAAAAAAAACCCATTACATCCTGGCACTGCTAGTGGTCTCTGGAACTGAAACGGAGAAACACATGACTAGTTTGTAATAAAGCAATTAGGTGGTAAATACAGAAACTACTTATGCTTTGTCAACTCTGTATTTATGCTTCCTTTATTTAAGAGCATGAATGCAATCCTGGGCACTGCCTTTAGGATATATATGAACTGCTTGGAGGGAAAATGTTTTGTTCACTGAAGAGCAGTCGAAGTTCAGTTGCAAAAATGCAAAGTCACCAGCACTCCAAATTGATGTGTTTCATGTGTTTGTGATGACAGCATCAAATAAAGCATAAGAAACCAACTTTTCGGGGCCTTGCACAGTCCTTTTCTCAAGGTAACATAGAAATGGCCCAAAAATGTCTTGTTTCTTATGCATTCTGTGATGCTGTCTTCACATAAGCACATGAAATGCATCTCTTTGGAGTGCTAGTGATGCTGCAGATTTACATTTGGTTCTGGGCACAGCGCAAACTGTGTCTCTCACTGTGAGAACACATTACAAGGCTGAGTACTGTGAGGATTGCAGCTTCTTTTTGTGCTTTATATGATCTAAGTTCAAGACTCCAGTTAAATTGTTATACAGGATTTATATAGCGCCAGCAGTTTGCTCAGTGCTTTACAATATACCGGGAGACAATACAGCAACAATACAAGAGGGTTAAGAGGGCCCTGCTCCTTGGAGCTTACAATCTAAAAGATGATTTGCCAAGGTAAGCAAGATGATTTGTAATATGTTTAATACCAAAAATGAGAAAGAGGCCAATTACACAAGCCATAGGATAACATTTACATTATACCATCCTTAAGCTCCCCATTTCACCTAGTGCAATGAAACGGCATGTACATTCAAACACAGAACAAACATTTGCAGGCTTCTCCTGTGCCATCGGCATAGAACTGAGCAGCATCTCAGTTATCCTTCCCACCAGTGGGCTGTGCAGTACTGGGCACCTGCCTGCTTCTGGCCTAGAGTATTGTCTTTCTGTATCCTTGCACCCAGCAATGACAGATGCAAGGAGTATTTTTTAAATACATTTTTACTGGTTCCGTAAATAAGTTTGCACAACACAGTACAACTGACCCATCCTACATACATCCCCTGGTGTACATAGATAAACAAAAAAATTACATGGTTTCACCAAACTATACAATGCATGAATACAAAATAGCTGTGCTGATCCTATTTCTATAACACTTTGGGAAAGAACACAAAAGGTTCCAAAAATGCAAACGGCATCCAGTAATCAAATTCACATCTATTACATAGAGAAGAGCAACACCACTATCAAAATAAAGGTGTAGCCATTTTAAAGTCTCTGATATCCTAAAGATTCAGAAACCAAATGCAATTCCAGAATAAATACCAAGCCAAGGGTAAGGAGATCCAAGAGCATTGCTAGTGTAGCAATCTGTTTAAAATTGGGTGGTGGGGGGGGGGGAGAGAGAGGAGGCAAACTTGGTATTACCAGCACCCCTTCCCAGTGTTTCTCAAACTTATTAGGGGCATCCTCTGTGTTGGTGCATTTTTTTCTCTTTGATGGATGTTATTGGCCATGTGTTTTCCAGTGATCACGTATGAGTGCAAGTGGGGAAATTCACCTTTGAACACTTTTCAAGTCATAAATAGGTGTTTGGTAATTGTGTATTTTAGGCTTCCTAGATGAGGAAGACTAATGGGGGGGATCGCCATTCCATAACATGGGGACAGGAGTCGAGGCTCTTTGGAACACATTGTTAGTGATGTCAACAACATCCTTCCAATAACCAAAAAGCTTTGGACACCACCAGAATATGTGTTTTTTAATGTACTCTGTGTTGCTTTGCATCTAGCTCAGAGTGCTATGTCCCTTTTCCCGATAAGTGTAATATCTGTGGGGTGTAATAAGACCTATGTATGATAAAGAGTTGTGTAATTTTTAGGTAGCGGGGAGAGATACTTTAGGGACAAAGAATAAAATAACTCAATCTGCATCAGATAAAATGGCCACATCCAGCTCCTAATGTGAAACTCTCAACCACCTGCTGCAACAGGGACTGATACATTCTTGAAAATAAAATCACTGTTTTTAGGAGCTGTTACAACAGCCATTAGCATCGGTGTATTGACTTTATTCAGAAAGCATAAACTTGGTTGTGCGTGTAACGCATGGAGTTGTAGATGTTGTTAAAAATCGCTGCCCTGGGAAGTTGAACAGTTTATGAAGGTTTTGAGAGAAGATAGATATAATTTATGTCAGGTTTGCACCACAGTTTAAACCCTTCTAATTTTTTTTTTTTTTTTTTAAAAGTTGTAGTAATTAAGGTTATCCCAAATGAGTAAAAATTTGGAGTATTCTTCATAACACATCATAGATTTCACTTTGTACCATATAGTATTCTGCATCTGAAGGGTGGGTTCAGAAGGGAATAGATGAAATCAGCTAGCCTCCAGAATAAAAATTAACAGCTTCAACTCTGCCCAGGGGCGGACTGACAACTCATGAGGCCCCCAGGCAATAGGGTATCATGGGGCCCCTGTGTTCTTGCCCAAACTAAAAAAAGCTACCAGGGGCATCTCATAGGGCCCCCTACTGACCACGGGCCCTTGGGCAGTGCCATATTTCCAAATGGTCACTCCGCCCCTGACTCCACCCCATTTGCAGCCGCGGCTGTCAATCACCAGGTCCCGGCCAGTGATTACTCGCTGGCGACCAGTGATTGCTGAAGATCTCCGAAAAGGGGAGAACTGTTAGTAAGCAAAACAGTTCTCCCTGTCAGCTCTGGCACAAGCACAAACACAGAACTTCGTTAAAAACAGCACACAGTTAACCCTTTGATCTCCCCAGGTGTTAACCCCTTTTTAATTTTTTGCGCTATAAAAAGAAAAACATAAAGACCGCCAATTTTCATGTCCAGAAAAAAAAAAAAAAAAAAAAAAAAAAAGTTTGTCATAAAGGTCTGCTATTACTGGAACAGGCATCCCTACTTTCCCCCTCTATTCTTGTTCTAATGTCAACTATAAAAGTTTGAATTCCCCATCACATTTTGTTAAGCGACAGTAGTCACTAAGACAAAGATGGTGAAAATACTCAGTGGAAACAGAGACAACAATACAAAAAACCTAAGAGCTTCTAACGTTTTCACACTCTTTTTAAAGCTAAGAGAACAAGTTTTGACTTTAGATACCAATTAATGCAGCCTACCTGAAAAATCTATTCAGAAAAGAACAACAAAGTACTTACCTGTTACCTGAAGAGCGCTCCAGTTGCAAGCAGCAATTCCTGGCTCTACGCCACAGAACAGGGCATGTTCTGTGGAAGGTAGGGCTCTGATTAGTTGCCTGTGTGAAGCAACAGCACTGGTTAACTTCTTCTGTCTAAGAGGATACAATGGAAAGTCCACTAGGAGACTGTTCTATGTGACAGGTAAGAAATTCACTGCTCCTAATAGCTTTTTCTGGGATTAGGAAGCATAGAGTGCAGGTGAACCTACAATGACCACTACCCACAGAAGAAATTTAGCAATTCAAAACAGTTTGTAGTTTCAACCAGTAAGGATTTACAATTCAAGGTAGAAAGAAACCTTGAATGTCCTTATTTCTCACCTTATGTAAATTTAGCTTCCACAGTTTAACATAGCCATCACTTGAAGAAGATGCAAGCACATGGGTGTCTTCATGTTCAAAAGAATACAGACTCTTTACTCTGGTTCAAAAGACAGACAGTTAAATGAGAGACCACATAAAATCGCCAATGTAAAAGTTTGAAATAAACACAATCTACTGTAACTAAAAAATCAGAATAGGAAAATGGTTAAAAGATTAGACTAACCTTGTCTCATGGGCTTTAAATTCACACAGACACTTCTGAGATTCCACATCATAAATTCTAATAAGTTCCTCATCTCCTGCTACAGCCAGCAAAACATCCTGTTGATTTACAATATAAGACGTGCATAAATTGTATTACACTGCTATATCAGTGCTGAAAGCCTCCTCAAATCAAAGAAAACATTTCAACAGTCCTATAACTGAACATTTATGCAATCTAAAATAATGAATGCCAAACACTGCAAATAAGCTGGCTGCAGATTGACAATTATAATTGATGGCGGAAGAGAATTTTCTAACAAAGCAATTAGGAACATTTCCAAAATATTCACCTAGAAGTCATTTCCTTTTTTTGAAAATGTTAATTGTTTCTCTTTACTACTCAGCTACAACCCCCACCCAAAAATACACAAGAGGGAATGTAATCAAAACTGGAGAAGTCAATCTGGAATGCCTCATGCAGTACTGTCTTTTACAGGGAGGTGAAGGTGTTACGTGCATCCATGTGCCAGCGTCCCTTTATAGTCTATTGGGACATGTGGCTGCATGAACACAGCTGCTGTATCCCAATATGACATGAAGGTCTGCAAACTCACTCTGTGTGCGTTCTGGAACATTCAGGCACTTGAATGTCATATTAGAGAATGGTTTTATGCAGGGGCGGACTGACAACTCATGGGGCTCCCGGGCAATAGGGGATCATGGGGCCCGTGTACTCGCCCACACTCAAATCACACCCAAAAAAGCCTATGACAGGTACCAGGGACATCTCATGGGGCCCCTGTTTCCTCGCCCACACTCAAATCACACCCAAAAAAGCCTATGAAAAAGGTACCAGGGACATCTCATGGGGCCCCCTACTGACCCCGGGCCCTTGGGCAGTGCCCGAGTTCCCCAATGGTCAGTTCGCCCCTGGTTTTATGTAAAAACAAGCATCCATACTCACCTCTATATGGTTTGCTGCAGCCCATGTCAGCTTTAAGACTTAAAGTGGTTCTAAAGCCTTAAGGTTTTTCATCTTAATGTATTCTATGCATTAAGGTGAAAAACCTTCTGTGCTGCAGCCCCCCCCCCCCCTTTTCTTACCTGAGCTCTATCCAATCCAGCGATGTGTACCAGAGCAGCGGCTCTAGCCAATGTCTCCATCCTCATTGGGCAGTCCATCAAATGCGGTGACATGGGAGTGGGGCCGAGCCACCCGCTCTTTGTCAATGGACGCAAACAGGACAGCTCGGGACTGAGCCCACATGGGTGCCCCCATGGAAAGCAGCTTTTTATGGGGGCACCCATCAAAGAGGAGGGGTCTGAAGTTCCGTCGGGGGGACCCCAGAAGTGGAGAATCGGGGCTGCTCTGTGCAAAAGCATTGTACAGCGCAGGTAAGTATAGACAGGTTTGCCATTTTATTTGAAAAAAAAAAAAAAAAAACCCAAAGATTTAATATCACTTAAAGGCTGACATGACCACTGACTACTCAGCTCTCAGTTTGCTTGGAGCAGAGAGCAGTGACTGTCAGTCCCCACTCTCCACTCTGCTCCTCCACCACTCACTGGAGTGCTGGACACAGCTGGCTAGGAGTCTCAGCCACACCCTGAGAGGCAGAGCCAGCTGTCAATCTCACAGTCAGATAGATCACAACAATATTGTCAAAATCCTTCCAGAGCCTGGAACAGCTAAATCCCACTATCAGCTGACTCTGGTTCACAGGAGTACAAAAGTGTATTTCTGTGATCCACAAGAGAAATACAGCCAAAGAAAGATTTACCCGTAATTCTCTTTTAAAGCTGAACTCCAGGAATGAGATAAAAAAAAAAAAAAACCTTGCAGTGGAGCTTACCATACTGCAAGAGTTAAAGGCTTGTTTAGCCTAGGGGTGCACAGATAAGAAATACCTACCTTTATCCATGGGAATAGTACCCTGCAGCCTTCTCTCTAAGGTGCATCAGGCTGCAGTCACATGCTTGTCCCTACTCCACACAAACACAGAGTTAATAGCTCTGCACTGCACGTGATTATGGCAAAGCCCTACTCATAGGCTGGAGCTTCAGAGAAAGGAGAGTGCTGGAGAGAGGAGTCACGCAAGTAATAATGCCTATGCAGCAAGCTAAAGGAACATTGGAGCTTTGCCTTGGGGTGGGTTATATTTGTCACATACTTGAAGTTCAGCTTTAGGCCACATGGAGTGTATTGTGTTGTAATGAGATCATAAATCCTTTTCACCTCCTTGCATTTTAAAAACATTGCACAGCCATGGACTTCAGCTGTGCTACACAGAATTCCAGACAAAAAGGTATATTTTTCGGGGTACCACTTAGGTATTAATTTGAATCAACTTAAAATATGCAGTGAATAAAAAAAGCGCCATCAGCATTAGACAGAGGTGGCCCCATCAGGGGTCAAGTTTCCTTCACCTTCACAGCAAGTACCCCTATACACAAGTTTGATTTCTAGAGTAAGTCTAGCTCCCCTACAGAGCAAATCAACTCTTGGCTCCCTTATCTACGCACCCCAGTGTTGTTGCTCCTAGGTTTCTTGTTGCACAAATAGCGGACACTGAACAAATGGAGCCAAGTACTTTAACAGCAGGAAGCCTAGCAAGAGCAGCACAAGGGAGCTGGGCAAATGTTCAGGACAGCTGTACAGGGAAGCGAGGAATGTGCAGGGCAATCTGCTTTGCTTTTTTTACCCCAACGTATTTCTGTGCTCCCAGATCCTGCCTGTGCCTGGGTCCTCCCACCCCATCCCCAGAAACTGAGTTGGAGGGGCTGCAGGACATTTGAAGCACGGGCAGGACAGTCTACAACACATGCTGACATCAAGCAATGCCCAGCAACCTTCCCTCCCCACCATTGACATGCCTCCATCCCCAGCTCCCTACACCCCCCCCCCCCCCAAACCTATTTAATTTGCAAACAGCTGGATACTTTATCGGTCTCACCCTCTCCTCCTCTGTTTACATCCATCCAAAGGCTTCTCACACCCCATCTACTGAAAATCCCCAATCCAACGTAGGTTTCTCACCTGTTGCCCAGCTGTCATCCATCCCCCTCCCCACCAACCTACCCCTGTGATGACATCCTTTGGTTCTTGGCCAACTTATCCCAGCAACTAAACTCTACTCTTGCACATAAGACTCACGAAACAGTTATACGTAATATGGTTAACAATATATAGCCCTAGAAGCCTCTAAAGCTACTAGTGGTCTCTGGAACAGAGGCTGAAAACACTTGACAGTTTATAAATGAGAAATTAGGTTGGGAATATGAAAGTTACTTTAGACACACAACAGCACACATACATACACTATATTTTTCCAACAGCAACATTTTATGCTTGTTTTGCTATAGAGCATGAACACAATCTAAAGTGTTGCCCTCGGGGTATATTTGAACTGCTTAGAGGGAACAGGTTTTGTTTATAGAAAAACTGCCCAAAGTTCAAGACTCCAGGTGAATGACTTAACACTTAACAAGGAAGGAGCTTTCTCATATGTTTCAAGGTCATATACCCAAGCAATAGGAAAAAAAAGCTTTACACCAATCAACACTATTCCTTCTTAATCATTGGAAAACCCTTCACCCAGTACATATGTGTATTCATTTATACCTGGTTTACATGTTTAAACACCTAGCCTGGCAATGTCAGCCTCTTAATTTATTTCTGGTCTGTAACAAGGACTAGATCTGCAGCATGACCTGCTCCTAATCAGAACTCTGTGGGGTTGAATTACTAAAATTGGAGAGTGCAAAATCTGGTGCAGCTCTGTATAGAAACCAATCAGCTTTCAGGTTTATTTGTCAAAGCTCATTTGAACAATCTGAAGTTAGACGCTGATTGGCTACCATGCACAGCTGCACCAGATTTTGTAGCAGTTTTAGTAAATCACCCCCTTTGTATGAATCAATGCGTTTACTGAGCATTACCTTTAAAAGGTTCATGGACAAGACATGCTGTTTAGAGGTCAGACCTCTGTTAAAAGACAAATACATAATAACAAAGCAGTGTTTCTAACTACACTACAGGGCCAGCAACACAAAGACTGGTTGCCAGCATGTGTTCTGATCTAAATTACACCACCTGCAAAATACCCAAAGCTGCACTTGGATCCATCATAATGATATCTGGTTGTTTAAAAAGGTGGGCATATTTACAACCCCTGATGCGGTTTGTGTTTTACAAGTATTTGGATGTGCTGTGCTAAAAAAGAAAAATTTCCATTCAACAACGATTCCAGATGAGATTTTTCTTAACACTGCATGTCTCTGCAGCTATATATTCATTTTATATTATAAAAAAGATAAACACTAACTACAAGATACGCAAACTCGGGTGAAAGTTGTGTTAAATAAATGTATAAACAGATCCCTAACTAATATAAAATGTTAACAATCCAACTAATGTAAATGTAACCCCCATCTAAGTAATCTAAGAGGAGGTATACAGCCCTGGCCAAAAGTTTTGTGAATGACTTAAATATTGATTTTCACAAAGTCTGCTGTTTCCTTGTGATTTTAATCTTTTTGTCCGATGTTACTATGGTATACTGAGGTATAATTACAGGCATTTCAAAAGTGTGAAAGGCTTTTATTGATAATTACATTAAGTTTTATGCAGAGTCAATATTTGCAGGTTTGACCCTTTTATTCCCAAGACCTCTGCAATTCACCCTGGAATGCTGTCAATTAACTTCTGGGCCACAACCTGACTGATGGCAGCCCATTCTTGCATAATCAATGCTTGGAGTCTCACAGAACTTGTGTGTGTGTGGGGGGGGGTTCACCCGGATTGACCACAAGTTCTCAATGGGATTAAGGTCTTTGGATTTTGGCCATGAACACGAAATGTCGATGTTTTGTTCCCCAAGTCACTTAGTTGTCATTTTTGCCTTATGGCAAGGTGCTTCATCAAGCTAGAAAAGGCATTGTTCATCACCAAAAACTGTTCTTGGATGGTTGGGAGAAGTTGCTCTCAGAGGACGTTTTTTTGTACCATTTTTTCTTCATGACTGTGTTCTTAGGCAAAATTGTGAGTAAGCCCACTCCCTTGGCTGAGAAGCAACCCCACACATGAATGGTCTCAGAGGATGCTTTACTGTGGGCCAGGGGCGGACTGACAACTCATGGGGCCCCCAGGCAATAGGAAATCATGGGGCCTGTGTCCTCGCCCACACTCAAACTACACCCAAAAAAAGCCTACGAAAGGTACCAGGGGTATCTTATGGGGCCCACTACTGTCCCCGGGCCCTCGGGCAGTGCCCGAGTGCCTAAATGGTCAGTCCGCCCCTGCTGTGGGCATGACACAGGACTGATGGTAGCACTCACCTTTTCTTCTACAGGCAAAATTTTTCTGGATGTCCCAAACAATTGGAAGAGGGATTCATCAGAGAAAATTACTTTACCCCAGTCCTCAGCACAGGGCTGCTGCCCCCGGCTCTTCTGTAGGGAGCCTGGCCCCATCAGCTGCAGAGGGGGGCCCGGTCAGTTGACAAGCCCATCTGCAGCTGCTAAATTCCATTGTTAGCCTCATTCTATCACACATTGGCTCAGTGTTTTGAATGTTAGCTGTGCTCCTGCTCTGCTCCACAAATTTGACACTTTCAAGTTTCCTTCTGTTTATAGTTGATTGCACCTTTGTTTCTCTCCTCTCCCCCAGACTACTGATCCCTTTCTCTTCACTGCTACAAACCTCTCTTTACTTATACAACTTGCCTCCCTCCCCCACTGCCATTACCTGTTCCCTCTGTAAATCTATATATCACTGCTCAAGTCTTTTTATTTAACTATTTATTTACTGATCTAGTTAATGTGTCCCATTTCCTATCACCTACAGCTCAAATCTGGCATTATTCTAAGATTCCTAATTGAATCTCACCACTAATCTGATTGCTTTCATAATTCATGGTCAGTCCCGTTCCCTTACCTAGAATAACCTTTAGGACCAGTTTACACAACATGCATTTCAGTCGCTTTTTTTCTGCATCCAAAAACACACAGAAAGTATATGGTTGTCAATGTCATAGTTCACATCAGTGCTTGCAGTTCCAGCGCGTTCTGGTTGCAGAAAAACCATGCTGCATTTTTTCTGCACAGAACTGTACTGTAATGTGGTAAAACGCATCAAAAACGCACCACAATGTACATGTCCCTAATTAAATTGAAGAAAAGGGGGGAATGAACTGGAATGCATAAAGAACGCACTGGAATGAGTCACAAACACACTGGAACATGCTAAAAAATGCGTGAAAAATGAGCATTAAAAACGCATCCAGAACACATCTAGACTGCGTTTCTATAGTGTGAACCGGCCCTTAGGACTTATTCACACCATTTGTGGTGCAGAAACGCATGCATTTTCCTGCACAGCAAAGAAAAGCAATGCCCTTTGCAGATGTGCACAGGTACCATGAAACGTAATTGCACTGCAAGTGTTTCCTTGCAGGTAACCCTGGTTAACAGAGGAAGAAGAATGATTTCAAGCACCACCCTCCTGTTAAAGCTTCAATTCTGTTTCAATTAGCATGACAGAGTAAATCAACAACAAAAGAATCACAGACACGATGTCAGCTACTCCTTTTGTGGCAGGGCTGAAATGCAGCGGAATTTTTTTTTCTCTTGGATTAAGTTCATTCTCATGGCAAAGAGGAACTTTGCAATTAATTGCAATTCATCTGATCACTCTTCATAACATTCTGGAGTATATGCAAATTGCCATAACAAATGAGGCAGCAAACTTTGAGAAAATTAATATTTGTGTCATTTACAAAACTTTTGGCCAAGGCTGCATTTGAAGAAAAAAAAAAAAAAAAATACTGAATAGCTGTTCCTACAGTGAAACTGCATGTTCATTCATTCTGTGCTAACCAGTTGTTTGCCCCAGAAAGGGGCAAAAATGGAATGTTCTTAAGCTATTTTCTCTTCTGATTGACTGTTCTTCAAATATTATGATCAATAGTGAATATAGGTTCATTCCTAATGAACAGAGTGAATAGGGAAATTTCCACATTATGGCCACTAGATGGAGCAGAGCATCATAGGAAATAAATACATCTTTAGTAAGAAGAGGTACAAAGTAACAACTTTAGAGAACACTGGAGGGAACGAATAAACAGATCTTGTAACAATGGCCACTTCACTCCAGCATTCACCAATATCTAGTATCCTCAAGCTACTGGGCATCAACTGGGCAGAGTGAAAGCTGGGTGCCAGGTACTGAAACTTTCACTGCCATAACAACAGCATGGGGGAAGGGTTAACTGACAGCTATGACTACCAATGCAGGGAAGGGGAGGTTAACTTCCATTGCTACAGACCACTAACGCAGGTGGAATCAAATTTCACTATCGGTTAACACCAATAGGGAGCTGGGGGGGTTCAGGGGACCATTATTGCGGCCACTGACACCAATATTGGGGGTTTTGTGTCAACTGACACCAATATTGTGGATTATTATTGCACTCACCGACATCAACTCTGGGGGTTATTAATGCATCCAATTACGTCATTGTTCGTAGTAACGTGTCCACCAATATCAATGTGGAGAGTGGTTATTGCAAACACTGGCACCATGCTGGGGACTATTATTACTGTCACAGACACTAATGCTGAGGGTTATTATACTCCAACTCTTCAGTGTGTGCATTGCGGTATGTTGCAAAAAATGTGTTATTGCCTATTCATTTTAAATAGGCTGCCTAACTTGATGCAATGCACCTCAATGCACTGCTCTTGTGTCGTGTAGGGGACCGGACTTGAGACCCTCTAAAGTTTGCAATTCAACCACCACTGATCTAGTATCCCTTCTCGCAAAGATGTATTTCCTATGATTCTCCACTCCATCTAGTAGCGATAATGCAGTATTTTCCCAATTTACTCTGTTTGTTATGAATGAACCTATCTTTATTAATGCCCATAACGTTTGAAGAACATTCAACCAGAAAAGAAAATAGCCTAAGAACAGCTGAATTTGTCATTCTCTCAACAGCTGGTTATTTCACACAGAACTGCAGCAGTTTCACTGCACGAATAGCTATGCAATTTGTTTTTATAAATACACCCTCAGAGACAAGTGTAGTCTCTGATTCTATCCAAATATCACTTTTGGTGAAGTTATCAATAACATCCCAATATGTGTAAATTAATTGGTTTATGATAAAGTTATGGAGTCTACAAATGGCAGTATATATACTGGAATTTAAAAAAAAATATACTAGTTATGGTGGCGATCAGCGACTTATAGTGGGACAGTGGCGAGCATTCTGACACTGGGTGGGAACTGACTAACTGCCACTGACTTCTCAATGACATTAATACAGAGAAATACACAGCAACATGTTATTGCTGGCAGGAGAAAGACCTGTGTAACCTTGTTTACATACATGTCTCTCCCCTGTCACCGTTTCTCGGCAATTGCTGGGTGCTAGTGGGGAATCTCCGGCTGGGACCCGGTGATTGACATCCGTAGCCGCCAATCGTGGCACGGGCATAGTGGTGCGCGCCCCCAACCTGGAAATGCAAATCACATATTTATACATGACTTTGAGCAGCCCTGCCACCCTGTAGCAGTATTTCTGCTATAGGCGGGGGCAAGCGGTTAAAGGGCTACCCATCACATTGTCCAGTGTATTAGAGCAAAGTCAGGTCATCCAATACATTCACAGGCACACTTGATGTGATTCAGAGGTTTAGTTGTCAAGTTGATAACTGTGACTCTCTGCTTGCATATTACAAAACATTGCCTGTTTTATGTCCTTATATACAAAATAAACATTTAAAAAAAAAATGGACCAAAGTTCTATCCCTTCCCCACACAGTCTCAAACCAAAGAACAAGTTTTGGGTGGAATAGGGCTTTTAAAAAAGGTCAAAGCCACCTGAAACGGATTTGCTGACTTTTTATATCTCTCAGGCCTCTGACTGCAAGACACTACTATGGCCCATAGAAAAAACTAAAAAAAAAAAAAAACAAATGAGCTCATCATGTCCCCATAATGTTGAAGGAGAGGACAGAGACAAAAGCTACTGGGGTAAAACACTATTTTAATCTACAAGTGGGAAAGAATCTTTTGGAGAATTAAACCCTGATATATTGAGTGTAGATGGAATCAGCCTTTACAGATTATTAAAAACAAGAACAGCAGGTAAAAATGGGAGGAATATATAAGTATAGGCGACCAATTTAGGGCTTTACTTACTGTAATAAAACGCACAGAAGAGATCCTGCTGGGATTGTCGATTGTGCCGATAACTGAAGCGGTTTCAAGTTTGTACACATCCATTTTGTTCTGTACAACTACTATATATTTTTCTCCATTGGGAGACCACTGAACTATATGTGCATCTGTAAGCAAGAAATTAGATTGTTTGATCATGGGATCTTCTAAAATATAGCGCAGAATGGCAAAAGGTTCAACTCACTTTGCTTTATATTTTTTATAAATGCAGATCGACCTTCAACAAGGTTCCAGGTCCTAATAAAGAAATGGAAAAAAAAAAAAAAAAAAAAAAAAAGAAGATTAACAATAATAATGTAGTGCACCTGTGTAAGTCACTTATAAAAATGACAGACACTATGCTGAACAGAAAAATATGGCAGCAAGCCCATTGATCTAACCAATTAGTCCACAGCATACAAACAAGTCGATTAACAAATCAGCTCATATTACTTAAATGAAGAGCAGCCTTATGTAATCAATATTAAACAATGTGCTGCAATTCATGTATTAGTTTGTTCATCTCTATTCCACAGTGTTGATCATCTGTTGCTTACTTTAACCCTTTCATTGCTAGGCCCGGCACTCCACTTTAAACCTAAGGTAACGTGGCCAAACTATTTTTGGTATTTTTCACTTAAAGTTTTTAGACTGGTGCTTCTGATTTTGTAGGTTCCGCGATAGCTGCATAAATGTTCATTAAAAACAATAGTTCAAATAAACATTTAGATTTAGGCATCAGTTACAAAAGCCACACGATGTCAAAGAGGAGCGTATTTCTAAACCCAGGAATCACAGGTTCTTTGTATACAGCCATGGTCAGCAGCCTGTGGAATTCAATGAAAGACTGACAGAAGCCATTGCTGTATGCATGCAAACTCAATCTGAGCAGTTACATGTGTATAGGGGTGTATGAGTGGCCCAGTTTGTGTCCAGGATGCGCGGCTATATGTGTACAATTGTGTTTACATAGTCTGGCTGAAAAAAACAAAAGTCCATTCAGTTCAACCATCAACAAAAAAAAAAAAAAAGTTATAATCCTACACCCACAGTTGATCCAGAGGAAGGCAAAAAACCCAAAGCAAAGCATGATCCAATCTGCTCAAGCAGGGGAAAAAAATTCCTTCCTGATCCCCCGAGAGGCAATCAGATATTCCCTGGATCAACTTTACCTATAAATAGTAATCAGTTATATTCTGTGTATCAAATAAAGAATCCAGGCTTTTTATAAAGCAATGTAAAAGGGCCTGCATGCTCGGACCGGAACTTTTTCCAATAATATATTTGAAGAATTTTTTGGGGTTGTTCCTGCTATCATTTGCAATCTGTTTGTTTTAAATTTTTTCGGCCCTTATTTCCTTTTTGCATATTCTGTTCTATTCTTTGTAATATTTAAATGATGATAGCATTCCTTCATGTTTATATTTAATAAAAGCTCTTATTACCTACAGTTTTTTTTTACTTTGGCCGTAAGCCACATAAGTTTGATTTTTAGCCTTTTAAACTTGTTGCCCATGGGAATATATTTTGCAGTGTGTTCAAATACAGTCTTTTTGAAGAACTCCCATGTGTTGTGTTCATTGATGCCAATATTCCCTCCCAGTCGAAGTCCTGGACAGCAGCTCTCAGCCTTGGAAAATTTGCTCTTAAAATTGAGCGTTTTTATTTTTCCCGTATGTGATTGCTGTTTACAGCGAACAATAAATTAAATCATGTTATGGTCACTGCTACCCAGATGTTCTTTTATATGGACATTCATAATAAGCTCTGCATGGTTTCAGATTACCAGGTTCAGTAGAGCATCAATCCTAGTTGGGGCCTCTATGAACTGTACCACAAAATTTTTCCATAGTAGGTTTCAAAATTTTTGTCTTTTAACTGTTCCTGCAGTAGCATTACTCCAGTCAATTTCCGGGTAGTTAAAATTCCACATTATTATCACTGTCTCAGCCCTTTCGATCTGTGCAAGGAGCCGAGTCCCCACCTCCTCAATAATACTGGGAGGCCTGTAACAAACTCCAATGATTACCTTTGTAGTACGCACCCCCATGTGCAGTTCCACCCATAATGCTCCAGACTCATCAAACTCTCCATCAACTAGTTCCTCTTTCACACTCGCTCTGAGATCACTTCTCACATAGAGACAGACACCACCACCTTTCCTATTTACCCCCTGCCTCTCCGAAAGAGGACATAGTCAGGCATATTAATGGCCCAAGTCATGTGAAGAATGAAGCCAAGATTCAGTAATATCAATTAAATCATAGTTCTCTTCAAGCACCAAAGCTTCCAACTCACCTATTTTGATTGGCAGACTTCTGGCATTGGTGAACAAACACTTTAATGCATTGACAACTTGTGCACACTTTTTATTTTCATACAAATGGTACCAATTCCATGGGTTTTTTGTAACATGGGAACCTTCTTATCTGCCATAGTCCTCACCCCATCTTCACCCATTCCACCCACCAATATGTACGGACCCCTGTCTGATCTGTCTACCCTGTTATAATCTACTTCTCTCTCCCCCTTCGATCCTAGTTTAAAAACTCCTCCAGCCTTCCCATAAACCTCTTCCCCAGCACAGTAGACCCCCTGCCATTAAGGTGCAAACCATCCCTAGCATATAGGTTGCACCCCAATGAAAAGTCAGCCCAGTGATCTAGAAACCCAAAATCCTTCCCTCTTACACCAGGTCTTTAGCCATGCATTGAGTTCTCTAATCTCCCCGTCTTTCCTGAGTTGAGCACGGCACAGGTAATATTTCAGAGAATATCACCTTGGAGGTCATTCCCTTCAACTTGCAGTCTAGTTCTTTAAATTGATCCTTAAGGAGCCTCCACCTTCCATGTATTCTGTCATTGGTTCCAACATGGATCAAGACAGCCCGGTCATGCCCAGCCCCTCCCAGTAAATTAACCCGGTTCACCACATGCCGAACCCTGGCACCAGGGAGACAGCAAATCATTCGGTTGAGGAGATCCTGGCGACAAGTGATTCCATCAGTCCTTCTGATTATAGAATCCCCTACTACCACCAACTGTCTAGGCCTTCCTGCACTACCCTCACCACCCCTCCCAGCTGTTAGGGATAGCAGCGACAAACAACCAGGGCTGCCAACCCTGAGCTTTCTACCCCCACATGTTCACCCAACTTGGCAAATCTGTTTGGGCGCACAAACCCAGGGCCAGCCCTTCCTTTTCTGTGAGCCCCTACCACTCCCTCTCATTACAGTAACCCATCTTCCTACCTGATAATCCTGATTAGCCCCTCCACATCAATCCCATCTGGTGGTGTCTGCCAGTTTGTCATTGCTTTGTACAGGCTGCTTCCTGTGGCTGTAATTAACCACATGTGATTCCCAGGTGAGGAAATACTATGTGTGAATGAGGTACTGGGGGCTCATTCACATGGGTGATGTGGCCCATACAGTGCAAATGCATGGTTTATGCGGTTTCAGCCAGCTGAATCTGTATGCAGGCAGCCTATGTTACTCTACAAGGAAGCAGCAGCTGTACAAATACAGCCACTGGCCGTAATTTGACAGGTGTGCCCTCAAACAGTGTTTGGTGTCACACTCACCTTCAAATGTAAAGCAACCCTAATATAACATAGTTGGCACACCACAGGTGCCTCCACCTAAGGTCCTTCTTTAATGTCTGCACCTGGGTACAGAGTGTTGCAACATAGTTACTTGGGGCAATGGGCCTTGGTACCTGACCCCACGTCACACTGGCCACTAAGGCTACTTAGCATAGTAAAGAGCTTCAGTTCTGTGTCTAAAAAGACCTAAAGCCAGATACAGCCAGGCAGCTAACACTGGAAGAAAGAAGCCAACATTGGCTCATTAGCTTCTCAGTACATTTAATGAATCATTGCTGTAAATTAACATCTTCCCAGCATGTTACCTGTGCCAGGAGGCTGTCAGTTACAGGCATTGGCAGTCACTTTGATCTCCAGAAGACTACTGCACAGGCCAGCTGGACACCCAGTCTAACTGATCTGTAACCAATCTGAGTTGTGATAGATCATGTGATCAACAGAATTAACAAATCTGGTGATCAAGGATAAGTGTGTATGCAGCAGCAAACTTTCCTAATGTTTACTGGTATCCTAGATGAAAACAAGCATTTAAAAGGATAGGTTAACCTTTAATTAATATATAAATGCACAACTTTTTGCAGATAAAAAAAAAAAAAAAAAAAAAAAGTATCTATTGTAAGTTTTTTTTTTTTTTTTTTTTTTTAAGCTTGTAAAGCATTGCACCCACAATAAGCAGATCACAGGTGCATGTTTATTTTTCTAATGTGTATGTGTGCATCTCTGCCCTGACACTGTGTGTGTTCTCCATTTGCTGTTAGGTTTAAAGTAATATTAAACCCTCAGCATATTTTAGATCAACACATTGAGTATAATAAAAGAAGCCACCCTAAAAAATAATAACCTGGGGGCAGCAGGTATAGGACCATCTTAAAGCAGTTTGATACAACTCGTACTAATTTAACTACCTATAGATATGCATACATTAGCAACTAGAGGGAACACTCAATGGCTTAGTGCAGACCCTGTGGATATAAAGATAATAGCAAAGAAAAAAAAAGGAAATGCATTATTTTCAAAGATGCAACCACAGACTTTTAAGAACAATACCACATACTAGAAGATGGTTTTTATTAAGTCAATCTGTTTGAAGTAGTTATCTCAAAAAAGACAATACATTAATTTAATATGTTGGTGATTAGAAAACAAAATTTGTAAGATTATAGCTCTTTCACACAAAAAAATAACACTAACAGCTTTACCTTAAAGTCTTGTCTGTCCCCACGGATAAGGCTAATTTCCCCGAAGGATGGATTGAAAGAGACAGGACTTGACCTCTGTAGAAAGATCACACAAAAATTTTCACTTGACTTTGCACAAGAGTTCCTGTGTCTGCTCACCTGCTATGACCATTTTGTGAACTTCCCACTCTCCTTGTTATTTATTTCACACTACAATAATGTGCCCTTTACAAAAACTAATTTAGAATGTGCTTTATTAATGCCATCAGTTTTGTAGCTTACATAGCATTTTAGAATACTTCAGAGTAAACAATGTTTTTAGTAAAAATTTAGTAAACATAGTGGAGTGACAGTATTGCATTATGGCCGTGCCAAAATCAGCTCATGCACAACATAATAGGTTAGCACGTTATTCTGTAATGCAACACACAGTATATACAACCAGCAATACGGCCAGGTCAGTACATGGCCTTGAAGTTGGTTGTATGTGCCACTGTGTTGCATCGTGTCTACATTTTTCAAAGTCCCTTCTTCCTGTAGTCCTTGGAATGCAGTTAAGGCACTGGGTTGTATGTGCCAACACCCCCATGTTTACAAAGACTAAATGTTGCCATGTTGTTAAAATCCTATGATTAGAGATGAACCGATACCAGTATCGGTCCACATACCGAGTATTTTCAAGAGTACTCGTGAAAATGCTCCCGATACCCGAAACCGATTCTTTGCGGTGCGATTTGCATCAATAAAAAATGAATGGGCGCAAATTGCACTGCAAAGAGTGGCATGCGATTTGAGCAGGAATGTGGAGCGATTCCTCTCATTTACCACACCGCTCCTGTGTGAACCCAGGCTGAAATCATTAAGCAATGCCTAGGTTCAAACAGGAGTAGTGGGGACAGGAATTGCACTGCATTTCTCTTCAAATAACATGCCATTCCTTGCAGTGTAATTTGCACCCATTCATTTTGAATGGATTCAAATTGCACTGCAAAGTATTGGCACTCGGCGAGTACTAGACCGAAGTTATCGGTACTTGTACTCGACAAAAAAAAAAAAAAAAAAAAAAAAAAATTTAAAAAAAAAGGTATTTGTGCATCCATACTTATGATATCCCATCTATGCAAGGGATGTATGCTGCAGGTTATTCTAATCTCCTGTATGTCTCTGATTTGTATTTGTCCACCAAATCCCAGTCTCAAAAAAAATACAACATGGAACACATGGGCATTAAACTATTTCATATAAAAAATACAGGATATCAGTGCACTCTTTAGAGAAGTAACTTGTTTCTCCATGTGACTACAATGCTCCTCTAATGCGTGTTGATCCTGACATTGTGTGTGCTCTCCATTTGCTGTGCGTTTTAACCATATACCATCCAGAGGATTTACCCCCCTTCCTGACAAGAACATTTTTGAGATACGGCGCTACCTTATTTTAACTGAAAATTGTGCGGTCATGCAATGCTGCACCCAAATGAAATTTATTTTCTCCTCCCCCACAAACAGAGCTTTCTTTCTGGGGTGTTTGATCACCTCTGCATTTTTTTTTTTTTGCATAATAAAAAAAAAAAAAAGACTGACAATTTAGAAAAAAAAAAAAATAAATAATAAATCTGACTTTTTTTTCTATAAAAACACATCTACTAAGAAAAATTTTAATTTCTTAATAAATTTGTGCCAAAATGTATTCTGCTACATGTCTTGACTAAAAATAAATCCCAATACATGTAAATTAATAGCGTCTACAAATGGCAGTATATATACTGGATTTTTTTTTTTTTATATACTAGTAATGGCAGCAATCAGAGACTGCTGCGAGCATTCTGACACTGAGTGGGAACTGACTAACTGCCACTGACCACAATACAGTGATCAGTGCTAATAAAAAGCACCAACACTGCACTAACGACACTGGGCAGGAATGGGATAACATCTGGGGTGATCAAAAGTTAACTGTGTGCCGTTATACATAATGTGCTGTGTGTGTTTTACTGTGTAAACATGCTGCTGTGTATTTCTTTGCTGAGCAGAGAAATACACAGCAGGATGTTCTTGCTGGCAGGAGAGAGACCTGTGATTTTTACACACAGGTCTATCCCATCAGTGTTACTCGGCGATAACTGGGTGTTGGCGGGGAATCTCTGGCCAGGGCCTGGTGATTGACATCCGTAGCCGCAAATGCGGCCCGAAAGAAAACACACACACTAATATAAAATATATATATATTTATTTATTATGTGCCTACCAGTGCACATCAATGCCACATATCAGAGCCCACCTGAGCTGCCTTTCAGTGTCACATATCAGTGCCACCTATCAATGCCAGTCAGTGCCACCAATTAGTGCCACCTATCAGTGCCTGTCAGTGCTGCCTATCAGTGCCATATATGAGTGCTGCCTTTCAGTGCCCATCAGTGATGCCTGCCAAACCCCATCAGTGCCACCTATCAGTGCCCATCAGTGCACACCAGTGAAGGAGAAAAATCACTTATTTACAAAATTTTATAACAAAAACTAAGAAAAAACGTTTTTTTTTTTTCAAAATTTTCAGTTGTTTTTGGTTTGTATAGCAAAAACTAAAAACCCAGAGGTGACTAAATACCACTAAAAGAAAGCGCTGTCTCAAAAAAATTATAAAAATTTCATATGAGCACAGCATTGCATGACCATGCAATTGTCAACGTGCAACAGCACTGAAAGCTGAAACTGGCCTGGGCAGGAAGGGGGTATAAGTGCCCTGTAGGCAAGTGGTTAAAGTCCTAATTAAAAAAAAAAAAAAAAAAATCAGTGAAATGTTCTTCAAAAGTGTATATGTTCATCTTTGCCCTGACACTGTGTGTTTTCTCCATTTGCTGTGAGGTTTAAAGTAATATTAAATCCTCAGAAAATTTTAGCTCAACACATGGAGCATAATAAAAGAAGCCTCCCTAAAACAAATAACCTGTGGTGGCAAGCATAGGACCATCTTAACCTGAATAGGATAGGATTAACCCTTTCGCTGTACCGATGTATACATACATTGGCAGAATTTGAAAAACTAACATCTTATTTGATGCCATTCATCCCAATTCTGTGTCAAAGAAAGACTGATGACAGACAGGAATACACAACTTGAACAGATCACTTACTTGTGTGCTTTGAAAGTCTGTTGACACTCCCACTTCTTAGTATTCCACACACAGATCAATCCATCTTCAGCTCCACTTAACAGATGTGTATTGCCATAGAACTCCAAACATGTAACCGTGCCTGAATAAGCACAATAAAACTGATTAAAGGGAACCTGTCAATGTGGCTGTTACCTGAAACAGCTATGGTTCCTACCTAGTGCTGCAGGAAACCATTGCCCAACTCATGTAAGTTGTGCTAAATTTTGTTTTACAAAGGTTTCTATTAAGGTTTTTAAAGCTGAATAACAAAAAAGGTACAAAAGGCAAGTGCAAAAAAAAAACAAAAAACAAAAAAAAAAAAAAACGGAGGTTACATCATTTGGCCCTGAAACATTACAACTAACCCAAGCAATCACAAAACTATATAAACTTCCTTCACTAGTCAAGGGCAAGTCCAGATAGTATGCAAATTCATCAAGTTGTGCTAAATCTTGGATAGGCACGCAAATGTGTGCACTACTGTAATGGGGGAAAAAAAAAACGCCACTTACAGCAGTCACAAATGGCAACCTCTGTGGTGATGGATATCAACAGCCCGACAAGTACGCAACATGTGACAGAAGACTGCAGCATGATAGAATTTAAAATATTTAAAGAGTAGTTATCCTTGTATCTCTCTCAAATTATATGCAGTCTGTGTTTAGTGTATGTATCCATGCACCCTTTAAGTAGCGGCACGTACTTGTGTACAGCTGCCTACACCCATTCATGTCTACGAGTGGCTGCACACAGCTCCAGGGGACCCTGGGCAGCAAAGTATGCCAGAGTGTCACACGCTGTGTGCAAAAGCAATTAACAAAATTGTGAACAATACTGTGCTTTATACAAACATATGTGATGTGATTACTGAAATAGCTCCAAACTGTGTGCCTGTCAAATCAAATATTTTCTGTAGCTTCTTGCTAAATTCTTGTACAGATATTGGCCATCCTTGCAAATATGTCTTTTCTTCATTATAAATCCTGTATAACAATTTTCCTGTATGCTGTTGAGCTCATTGTGTTTGTTCACCACCTTGCAAAAACATACATGTATGTTCCAGAGGGAAACCACATGCACACATTATACATGCAAAAAGAACATCAATTCTGCACAAGGGGAAAAGTAGTGTCCTTCACTTGTCTGGATGTTGTGAATGGGTTTTTCTTTATTATAGAGCGGATCCTGCGATCATCCACCACTGTTGTCTTCCATGGACGTCCATACCTTTTTATGTTGCTGAGCTCACCAATGCATTGTTCTTTCCTCAGAATGTACCAAACTGTTGATTTGGCCACTCCTAATGTTGCTGCTATCTCTCTGATGGATTTGTTTAGTTTTTGAAGCCTTACAATGGCCTGTTTCACTTGCATGGACAGCTCCTTTGATGCATGATGTAGGTTCACAGCAATAGATTCCACATGCAAATGCCACACTTACGCAGGCCACAGATGGCTCGAAAACCGTGCGTTTTTTCGAACGATAAATCGGTCGTTCGTTAAACCGATGTTACCACCAACGGTTACAAAAATCGGCCGACCAAGTCATAAAGTTCACCCCATATAACAGCCAAAACTTCTGTTCCTTCCAAGTCACGGCTCATGCGCATATTTTTTTTCGTTAAAATGATCGTACGATTTGGCCATCATTGCCTCAAAAATCGGTTGTTTTCCACAAATTTTTCAATGTGACCTATAATCCAAAAGTGCACAAAAAACCCGAAAACCGGCCGACCAATTAACCCACTAACAGTGCGAAAATCGTCCGATTAATCTTTCGGACGAAAAATCGGCCGATTTTTTGAACCGTCTATGGCCGGCATTAGAATCAACTCCAGACCTTTCACCTGCTTAATTGATGAATAAATAACGAAGGAGTAGCCTTGAAACAGCTTTGGATTCAATTGTCCAATTACTTTTGGTCCCTTGAAAAAAGGGGGAGATGGCTACTCTTAAGAGCTGCAATTCCTAAACCCTTCCTCCAAATTGGATGTACATACATTCAAAGTAAACCTGAGAGTGTGCACTTTTAGCCCATATCCATTATATAACTATACCTTGACTGTTTTGGTAAATACCTGAAAAATACAAAAATTGTGCCTGTGTCCAAATATATATGGACCGAAGTGCATGTCTCAAGCACTAATGCAGCTAGTAGTCCTGAAGCAGACCATATTTAGTACAATCTGATTGAACAATATTTTACATCTACTACCAACTAGTTAGTGTAAGGGCTTGTCTGACTGAAACACACACTTAACGCGATGTTTAGGTGGGTAATCACCACACCTTTTTAAAGCAGATTCTCTTTCTTAGAATCCACAAAGGTAAGTATTACATCTTGTGCGTACCTCCATCAAATCTATAAAATCACACTTCATTCTGTTCGTCTCTAAATGTTACTGGTTATCCTCCCCCAACTAATTACGCACCTCTTCTCACCCTATTAGGCAGCTTCTCTGAGGAATTCTAGAGAGTTGCAATCATGTTATGCTCATGTATATGGCTTTTAATAAGCTGTATATGTTCTGGAATATAACGTATGTCTTCCACTTATGCGTGTAACCACTATATTTACTGTAAACATATGCAAGAAAGTTGTCCTTTACGCTACACAGTTCACATTATATTCAGTCTATTGCAGGCGTTATCCCATGGTACATACCATTGTGATGTAACAAAGCTCCGTGTTCCACCTTTTTTTTCATATCATAAATTTGAATGGTTTCATCTTTGCTTCCAGAGGCAACAAATCTTTTATTCACAGCAACCACAGATAGGGAAGCAGTGTGAGCATGGTTTGTGAAGTCAGCAGTGGCCGTCCATTGCTGAAAGACAGAAAAGAACATTGTAAACAAATATTTTATGGACAAAGGCACCATTCTACAGAAAATTTGTCAGAGTGCTTTAGTACCATGAAACCACAGCTGTTGAAATATAACTTTGAAATAATAAAACTTAAAATTTAAATAAACTATAGAAGATGTCACAACCACAGCTAGAATCCGCCCAATCAGACATTTTAATAGATGTCAGTATCTACCGCTGCTCTCTCCAGGCCATTACATCTCTAACATGTCACTGCAGCTCTTACAAACTGCCTCTGTGCTGACAAACTGAGCGGGGTGGTGTCACCGTCCCTCTTCACTATCTTGTCCAATCAGAGAGCACCTTCTAACTAAATACAGGGCATTTTATGAATGGTGAAAGTGCGAAGCAAGTATTGTCGGTGCATAGAGGGAAAAGCCACTTACATAGAACCCAGAAGATAATGCCTGCCACTGTAGTTGAATTCCAGATTCCCCAGCAGTCTATCAGGTATGAGTAATGCATATTGTATTGCTAATGCATATATATTATTGTATGAGTAATGTACAGTAGATATAAAATGTTTATACACCCCTGTTAAAATGTCAGGTTTCTGTGATGTAAAAAAAATGAGACAAAGATAAATCATTTCAGAACTTTTTCCACTTTTAATCGCTTTCCCACCGCCATATAGCAGAAATACTGCTACAGGGTGGCAAGGCTGCGCAAAATCACGTATATATACACACATGATTTTGCATTTCCAGGTAGGGGGGTGCTACTCCCTACCAGCGCTGCCATTGACGGCCTCAGCTGTCAATCACCAGGTCCCGGACGGTGATTCCCCACCAGCACCCTGTGATCACCGAGTATCACTGAAGGGGGAGAGACCTGTATGTAAACAATATAGATCTCTTCCGTCAACTCCTGCACATTGCCTTGTATTGCTCTGCATAGCAGAGCAATAAAAAAGAAATATGCGGACACAGGGAAAGGCACACAAAGCACACAGTTAACCCTTTGATCGTCCCAGATGTTAACCATTTCCTGCCCAGTGCCATTAGTGCAGTGTCAGTGCTTTTTATTAGCACTGATCACTTTAATAGTGTCACTGGGGATGTCAGTGACAGTCAGTTTCACCCCCAGTATCAGAATGCCCTCTGCAGTCCCACTATAAGGCGCTGATTGCCACCCTTACTGGTATTAAAAAAAAAAAAAAAAAAATTTTTTAGTATATATAGCGCCATTTGTAGACATTCTAACTTTCACATAAACCAATTCATTTACATGTATTGGGATTTTGTAGCAGAATATATTTTGGCCTAAATTTATGACCAAATTAGATTTTTTTCTACTTTTTTACTCGACATGTTTTAATAGCAAAAAGTCCAAAATATTGTTTTTTTCTTAAAACTGTTGGTCTTTTTTTGTTTATGGTGCAAAAAAAAAAAAAAAAAAAAAAAAACAGGAGATCAAATACCATCGAAAGAAAGCTCCATTTTTGGGAAAAAAGGACAAATTTAATTTGGGTGCAGTTACATGGCCGTGCAATTGTCAGTTAAAGTAACGCAGCGCCGTATAGTAAAAAATGGCCTGGTCAGGAAGTGGGGTAAATCCACTGGAGGGCAAGTGGTTAATGTGAAATTGAAAAATAAATTGAAACCTTTTAGGGGGGAAGTAAACATAAAAAGAAAAAAATAACGTGGTTGCATAAGTGTGCTCACCCTCTTATAACTGGGGATGTTCAGAATTAAGCAATCACATTCAAAATCATGTTAAACAGGAGTCAGTACACACCTGCCATCATTTAAAGTGCCTCTGGTGAACCCCAAATAAAGTCCAGATGTTCTAGTAGGTCTTTCCTGACATTTTCTTAGTCACATCCTACAGCAAAAGCCATGGTTCACAGGGAGCTTTCAAAATATTAGAGGGATCTCTTTGTTAAAAGGTATCGGTCAGGAAAAGGGTACAAAAGAATTTCCAAGGCATTAGATATACCATGGAACACAGTGAAGACAGTCATCAAGTGGAGAAAATATGGCGCAACAGTGACATTACCAAGAACTGGATGTCCCTCCAAAATTGATGAAAAGACCAGAAGAAAACTGTTTTGGAAGGCTGCCAAGAGGCTGGGCTATGGGGTACAGTGGCAAGACGGAAGCCTTTTCTTATGAAGAAAAACCTCCAAGCCTGGCTAAATTTTGCAAAAACACATCTGAAGTCTCCCAAAAGCATGTGGGAAAATGTGTTATGGCCTGATGAAACCAAGGTTTTTTTAACCATAGTTTCAAAAGATATGTTTAGAGCAAAAACAACATTGCACATCACAAAGAACAACATATCCACAACGAAGCATGGTGGTGGCAGCATCATGCTTTGGGGCTTTTTACCGCAGCTGGAACTGGGGCCTTACTCAAGGTAGAGGGAATTATGAACAGTTCCAAATACCAGTCAATATTGTCACAAAAGCCTTCAGGCTTCTGCTAGGAAGCTGAACATGAAGAGGAACGTCATTTTTCATCATGACAACGACCCAAAGCATACATCCAAATCAAAGGAATGGCTTTATCAGAAGATTAAAGTTTTGGAATGGCCCAGCCAGAGCCCAGAACTGAATCCGATTGAAAATCTGTGGGGTGCTCTGAAGAGAACTGTGCACAGGAGATGCCCTGGCAATCTGACAGATTTGGAGTGTTTTTGGAAGGGAGAGTGGGCAAATATTGCCAAGTCAAGATGTGCCATGCTGATAGACTCATACCCAAAAAGACTGAGTGCTGGAATCAAATCAAAAGGTGCTTCAACAAAGTATTAGTTCAAGGGTGTGCACACTTATGCAACCATATTATTTTAGTTTGTTATTTTTACTTCCCTCCACCTAAAAGATTTCAGTTTGTACAGTTCATGGATTACATTAAAGGTGGAAAACGGTCTGACATGATTTATCTTTGTCTCTTTTTTTTTTTACATCACAGAAACCTGACATTTTAACAGGGATTTGTACAATTTGTATATCCACTGTATCTGTGCCAAGCTGGACCAATGTAAGTATGCAATACGAATAAAACCTGGAATCCAGCCTTAGCACTTTTTTTTATCTTTAAAATGGCAGCACTATGCAGCTCTCCTTAACTTTCTGCTCACACCCCCATGACATGGGCACTGGTGACGTTCTACAGCTGTAATTTAGGAAGGCACACTAAGCATGAGAGGGCATTGAGACCTCTGGGTGAAGATGTTAATTGCAGGAACACCCCACTGTGCACTAACAAGCTGACAGGCTGTGTTCAGTATGCAGGCTTGTGGTCCCTTCAAGTGTGATAGCTCCGTGCGGCCAGCGCCAAGAGGTTAAAAACTGAATCTAAATAGCATAGGATACGTTACAAGGCATGCAGGGAATCCAGGAAGTTGTGGGAAGAGATAGGCAGCCCTTACAACACAATTAGAGATTTTCAGGTAAGCTTATGTTGCATTAACCTCTTTCCCCTCGCCCTATAGCAGAATTACTGCTACAGGGCTGCCTAAAGTCACATATATATATATATATATATATGTAATTTGCAGTTCCGGGTAGGGGGTGGGGGTCCGTGCGCTGCCCTGCCTGCACCACCATTGGCGGCTAGGGATGTCAATGTCAGTTAGTTCCCTCCCGCTGTCAGAATGCCCGCTACAGTCCCGCTATAAGTCGCTGATCGCCGCCATTACTAGTATACAAAAATAAATAAAAATTCCAGTATATATAACCGCTATTTGTAGACGCTATAACTTTCACGCAAACCAATTAATTTACATGTTTTTGGATTTTTTTTTTAAACAAAGACATGTAGCAGAATACATTTTGGCCTAAATTTATGAAGAAATTAAGATTTTACTGGATATGTTTTACAGCAAAAAGTAAAACTTTTTTTTCAAAATTAGCAGTCTTTTTTGTTTATAGTGTAAAAAATAAACGCTGAGGTGATCAAATACCACCGTAAGAAAGCTCTATTTGTGGGGGGGGGGGGGGGGGGGGGAAAAAAAAAGGACAAATTTCATTTGGGTGCAGCAATGCAAAAACGCGTAATTGTCGGTTAAATTAACGCAGAGCCGTATCACAAAACATGGCCTGGTCAAGAAGTTGGGGGGGGGGGGGGGGTAAATCCTCTTAGGGCTGGATAAAAAAAAATGTTTGTACTATTAAAATAATTTAATAAAATGAAAGTGTATGCTGTGACCATAGTTCTCCTCTAATGATGTTCAACCCATTGATGCCGACATAATACAAATATGCGGCCTCACAGAACCGGGCTTTTTTCCATGAGGCCGCATATTTGCGTGCCTGTCTTTCTGCTGGGAGCACGCCGCACAGCGCACTCCCAGCAGCACAAAGACCAGGGTGTCACTGAGAGCCCTGGGTCCCTTGCTGCACAGCACACTCCCAGCAAAGACCGGGGTGTCATTCTAACGATCGGGATAAGGGACTCCCGATTCTGGGTCACGATTGCTGTGATAGCCTCTAATTGGCTATCACTGTGATCAGTCACTGTACAGCCTGGCCCCCTTGTTTTTTTTTTTTCTCTCTATGAATGGAGGAGAGAGATACATTGTATCTCTCTAACTCCTGGCATAGAGGGAAAAAAATTTTGTAAAGGAAAAAAGATAAATATTAAAAAATACCTAGATCAAGGTTTGATCTAGTTCAGTGCCAGGGTAAGTGTTTGGGTCAAGGTCAGGGTCAAAGGTCAATATTTTTAAAAAAATTGGTATCAGTGTGTTTTGGGTAAACAAAATGTGCACTATTGCTTCTGGGCTGTACTACGGGTACAAATAACATACACATATATGGTATCGCTGCGATCGTCAAGAGCTATAAAATGTATTTTGGGTTGTTCTTTGGTGGTAGGTTATGGTAGTAACAAGAAACACACAGCTAAAATAAAAAAAATATGTTTTACTATTTTGGCCCAGTTTTCCTTTGATATAGAAAAAAAAAATCAGGAGATATCCATTACCATTTACCACCAAATGAAACCCAATTTGTCCTGAAAAAAACAAGATATAATCCACCTGGATGTACAAAGTAGTTGTGATGATATGTACGTTTTTTTTTCCTATGGTTGAACTTTTGTTTTTTTTTTCAGCCAAACTAACTATGTAACTAACACGTCAATGTTGCAAAATTGTGCCTAGGCATTATTTATTTCAGGTACTTATATAGCGCCGTCAATTTAAGCAGCGCTTTACATATATATTATACATTCACATCAGTCCCTAACCCTCAAGAGGTGTACAATCTAAGGTCCCTAACTCACATCCATACACATACTAGGGCCTATTTAGACAGGAGCCAATTAGGCATGAAGGTGTTAAATATACCCTTTAAGCAATGTTTAGAATAGCTGACACTGGAGAAGGAGGGTCCTGTCTGAACAAGCTTCCAATCCTATCACTAGATATCAGAGGGTTTGGAGGGTTTCCAAGGATGCCTGGATCTACACTATAGACAGCCCTGGGTGAGGAAACAACACGGCAGCCTGCTCTTAGTCATTACTACATGGTAACAGAACGCTTACAAGCCAATGACCTGAGTACACCTGGCTCTAGCAGACCACTGCCTATGTCAGCAGCAATGCCAGAGTGACTCGTGTGCCGAGTATAGAGGACCAGCCCCGGTCCATGCACTCCGCATACCTCTGCTTCTGGCTGGACTTGATAACCGAACAATATCTGCTCATAACACCCGCACACTATCTCCAGCCGATCCTCCATGCTGACTACACCGGAAACACGTGTAGACAAAAACACAGCTGCCCGGGCACTTCCGGGGTCTTCCAATAGCAGGTTAGGAGACCTTAGAAGATGCCAGCTCGGCTTTCGCGTTGTAGTCCTTTCTTTATTCGCTGCCCTGTTTTTCATTTTTTTCTAGTATTACTTCTGACAGGTTTAGTGAAGAACGGATCCGTACTTTGTAGCTGTGTGTACAAGTTGCTCAGGCATCATGAGGACAGCTATTCCTAATATTTGTATAGTAGAGGGCAATGGCACAGAATACAAGCAATAGGTAGATGCTGGAATAGAGATGTTCAAGAGAAGGGCGGGAGGTAGAATGCATAGAAACAGTCACATGGCAGAGTGGAATGACTACTTCAGGGCTTTCCCAGATTGTATGAAGAGGGGTGCAATGCTATGCTTGTGTGCCTAGTTCATGGAGAAACGCCACAGGACAGGACTGCTGGGTTACAGAGAGCAGGGTGCAGGAAAGTGCATGAGATGTGAGGAGAGCACACTCCTGACTCCTCACCATGCGTATGCCTAGTTCACAGTATTGCGGCCTTTGCAATCTATGTTTGCTCAGACACGGCCTCCTTTTCACTTGAATGGGCTGCCGATCTAACGTTTCCCGTGGGAAGAAGGTGCATGCACCTTTTTTATAACGTGTCCGCAAGGAAACCACACAGTCTTTTTGACCATGCAGTTCCCACAAACATGCTGCGGGCTGAAATGCCTGGGGATGCCACCCAGAACAAATGGTAGCTCCATGTGTCTCCTAAGAGCAGCGCAGTTTGATTGCAGGTGGTTGTGGGTGCGGACAGGTGCAATCCCTGCACCCGCAACCAGCCCATGGGGTACAGGCAAGTGTAAACCAAGACTTAAAGGGGAACTTCACCCTAAACGTGAAGATCTGTTTTTAAGAAGCCTCCCCCCTAACATTATTGGAGGTTTTGGGTTTTTTTTTTTTTTTGGGGGGGGGGGGGGGAGTGGGTACCTAGTTTTGGCAGGTACCCGCTTCCACTGACATTACCCAGTGTAGGGTCTGATAATGGGTCCAAGGATTTTATCCCAAAACCTAATAGCAGTCAGGGTGCCATTGTCTAGCCTGTAGAGGTCTGTGTGTCCCTCCATGGATATGCCTCCCCAGACCATCACTGACCCACCACCAGAATTGTCATGCTGAACGATGTTACAGGCAGTATAAAGACCCTTTCACATCTGTCACATGTGCTCAGGGTGAACCTGCTCTCATCTGTGAAACGCACAGGGCACCAGTGGCGGACCTGCCAATTCTCGTGTTCAATGGCAAATGCCAATTGAGCTCTATGGTGCTGGGCAGTGAGCACGGGACCCACTAGAGGATGTTGAGCTCTCAGACCACCCTCATAAAGTCTGTTTCTGATTGTTTGGTCAGAGACATTCACACCAGTGGCCTGCTGGAGGTCATTTTGTAGGGCTCTGGCAGTGCTCATCCTGTTCCTCCTTGCACAAAAGAGCAGATACCGGTCCTGCTGATGGGTTAAGGACCTTCTAAGGCCCTGTCCAGCTCTCCTAGAGTAACTGCCTGTCTCCTGGAATCTCCATGCTTTTGAGACCTTCTGGCAGTGGCACGTATTGATGTAACATCCTGGAGGAGTTGGACTGCCTGTGCAACCTGTGTCGGGCCCAGGTATCGCCTCATGCTACCAGTAGTGACACTGACCCTAGCCAAATGCAAAACTAGTGAAAAACAGAAAAGATGAGTAGGGAAAAAATGTCAGTTGACTCCACATGTAAAACCATTCCTGTTTTGGGGTCATCTCATTGTTGCCCATCTAGTGTACCTGTTGTTGTTTTCTTTAACACCAAAGCAGCTAACCACCTCAATATCGGGCCCTTTTACCCCCTTTCTGCCCAGTCCAATTTTCAGCTCTCAGTGCTCACACTTTGAATGATAATTACTCAACCATGCAACACTGTACCCAAATGAAATTTATGTCCTTTTTTCACACAAATAACGTTTTCTTTTGGTGATATTTAATTAGCACTGAGTTTTTTATTTTTTGCTCTGTAAATTAAAAAAGACCGAAAAAAAAAAAAAAAAACCCGCATTTTTCTTCATTTCTGTTATACAATTTTGCTAATAAGTACGTTTTCTTCATAAATTTGGGCCAAAATGTATACTGCTACATTGCTTTGGTAAAAATAATCACAATTGGTGTGTATTATTTGGTCTGTGTGAAACTTCTAGAGCCTACAAGCTGTGGTACCAATCATTGAAAATTGAACACACCTGATCAAACCTGATGTACTGCCGGCCTATCACATTTCTTGAGACACTAACAAGCCAGGACAGTACAAATACCCCCCTGGCACTGTGGCAGATGTGGATCACGGGCACTGTGACAGATGTGGATCACAGATGTGGATCACAGATGTGGATCACTGGGACTGTGACAGATGTGGATCACTTGTACTATGACAGGGTGATTTTAACTCACAGATCGGCTCTGCTTCTCCTCACTAGCAGGCTCTGTGTGAGGACAGGCAGAGCCGTTCAACTGAATGGCGGCTTTGTCGACATCACATGACGGCTGTGATTGGAACGTGGTGCAACCTTTTCCATTTTAAGGTCATTGCAAAGGCTAAGGGGGCGATTTAACCTCTGCATAGGGAAAGGCTTTTTCACAGTAAAAGCTGTAAAAATGTTGAATAGACAACCTCAGGAACTAGTTCTAGACAGCCCTTTTTTTAGTGCTAGATGCATTCCTACTTGCACAGAATATAACTGGCTATTAACATTTCCTATATAGGTAATAACACCAGAGAGTGATGATCCAGGAAATATAATTGCCTTAGGGGATCAGGAAGGATTTTGTTTGCCCTGTTGGAGCAAAGTATACATTACTCATGCATATTATTATTATTATTATTATTATTACTACGAGTTTATGTAGCGCCAAAGGGTTTGCTCAGCGCTGTACAATAGGGGGGACAATACATGGCACAAACAACAACAAACAACGTACGAGGGGTAAGAGGGCCCTACTCTTACGAGCTTCGTGCTGATGTTTACACTTGTATAGCCATGTACAGCGTCTTTTCTAATGCATGCATATGGGCAACAATATAATGTAGCTGTGGCTCCCAGGTGCCACAACTACAGCCGTAATGTACTCTTTACACACATGCACCATATGGCCTCAGGAACATGGAGCTTAAAAAATGCTGCTTATATAGGCATTCAGCGGTTTTGTTTTTTCAGCCTGTAAAAGCACCCCTATGTAATGCAGGGCATAGATGGGTCGAAAGTCGACCGATTTTTTCGGCCGAAAATAAAATCGGCCGATTTTCGGATCGTTAGTGGGTTAATAGGTCTGCCGTTTTTCGGTATTTTGGCAGATTTTTTTTATCCTTAAAGTTTGAAAAAAATCGGCCGATTTTTGCGGCAATGATGGGCAAATCGGCCGATCTTTTTACCGATAAAAAATCTGCGCATGAGCAGTGACCTGCAAGAGGAAGACAAAAAGAAGAAGAAGGGGAAGAAGAAGAGGAGGAGAAGAAGAAGGGAAGAAGAAGATGAAGAAGAAGCGGGATGAAGAAGAAGAAGAAGCGGATGAAGAAGAAGAAAGGATGAAGAAGAAGAAGAGGATGAAGAAGAAAGATGAAGAAGAAGAGGATGAAGAAGAAGAATTCCAGTCCAGCAAAAAAGTGTCCCTGCAGAGAGCTCCACTATTTCTTTGACAGTTCTTTGACATTTTTAGCGGCTGCAACATTGTATCTATTTGTTTCCAAATAAAAACATCTGTATCCGAAATGGATACAAATAGATACAATGTTGCAGCCTCTATAAATGTAAAAGAACTGTCAAAGATGAAAATCGGCCAATTTTTTTACCGTTCCTGGTAACGTCGGCCGATTGAACGACTGATTTTTCATTTTTTTAAAGAAAATTGGCCGGTTTTCTCCCCATCTATGGCCTGCATTAGTCTATGTATCCATTCACACATAGGCATTTACAGGCATATTAGAAGAGGAGTGTTTACAGGCAGAAAACCCCCCAACCAAGGATGTGTTCTTTAGGGAAGCTTAAGAGCATAAAAAAATCTATGCACATCTAAACGCGCCTAAATGCTAGACGTGTAAAGCGTATGTGCGTTTATGCTTCCAAAGACCAGAATACATTGATATTCTGGTCAGTAGAATGCATTTACACTCAAACTCTATATGCGCCTAAAGGTGTGTGCAATACACAGCTTTAGTGGGTTTTTTAAGCCGAATTTCCGTGCCAGCAGCTCTGGCATTCAGAGGGGCTCTTTCAGAGGTCTCTTGTGCCTGAGGCCTTAATAAAGCCGCATACAAGAGCCCTTATGTAAAATCAATTTTTGAACAATAATAAACAGTCCTTTTAGGGTAAGGGAGACATTGATAGCCAGAATTATAATCAAACTTACTGTATTTGCTGATTGCCATCATGTGTGATTGGTTTATAACAGGAAAACAGCAGTACACCTTCACCTGGAATATCTGAGTGTACTAACTATAATTAACACTTGACCTCCAGAGGATTTACCCCCCTTAATGACCAGGTCTCTTTTTGCTACTCGGCGCTGCAATAATTCAACTGATAATTGCGCGGTCATGCAATGCTGCACCCAAACAAAATTTACGTCCCTTTTTTCACACAAATAGAGCTTTCTTTTGTGTAATTTGATCACCTGTGCACTTTTTATTTTTCACGCTATAAACAAAAAAAAGGGCAAAAATTTTGAAGAAAAACAATATTTTTTATTTTCAGCTATAAAAAATATATAGTAAACTCAAAGTTGGTTATAAATTTAGGCCAAAATGTATTCTGCTACATGTTTTTGGTAAAACAAATCCCAATAAGTGTATATTGATTGCTTTGTGTGAAGGTTATAGCGTCTACAAAACTATGGTATAAATACTGCAATTTACGCCATTTTTCTGCTATACAGCGCTGCGCTAGTTTAACGGACAATTGCGCGGTCATGCAATTACGGTACATA